AGAGTAATTAATTTTTTTTAAATACGTCCCGGGCACCAACCCGTATGGTATTCTAATAATAATTATATTATATCATTGTTGTTAAGCTTGAGTTGATTGCGTTGAGTTCATTTCGGATTTTTTGCCGTTTTATATAATTTTATTAAAAAATACTTCCAGACTCTTATGGGATTTTCTTTGTATCTAGTGCACCGATATGCAGTGAACACCTAAGAAAATGTATACCTTTTTCTGGGAAGGGAAACATTTCCTTTATTTCGCTTTTTTAAATGTAATTTTCGGACCTCAGGTCTCAGGACAGATGAATAACCCTAATTGTAACCACCCAGATACTAAAATTACAATTTTAAAGTACATTATTGGTATTAGAATGCTTTTATCGATATTTTTATTTCTACCACTTTTCTCCTACTTCACTGTACTGACTTTTTATTTTATTAATTTACTTAAAATGAATTTTAATTAATTAATTGTATTATAAGATAGCCAATTAATTTGTTTTGCGGGGTCATAGAATTAAATTTCGGTATCATATTTAAAACCTTAACCCGTCCAAAACTAAAATAGGGTGGATTAATATTAAAATGGTTTCCTAAATTCATTCGGTTATAACATACACAATTTAAAAATATTCCTTATAATAAATAAATAAATACAATTTTTTGGGTGAACGTTTCAAAACATATGTAAATACAATTTTAAGCACGTTATTTTTATCAATATTTAATATTTCTGCTATCTACAGATTCATATTTAAGCCTTTTTTTGTAGAGTGACTTTATAACTCTCAGCTACAATAATTCCTACAGTCCAGTGACTATCGTAAACTATAAAGTTGTTTTTAATATTAATTGTAATTCTGTTTTTTCGTTAATTCGTGTTAATAATTTATAAAGGTTCTGTTATTTTACACTATTGTTTAAGCATATGGCATAGGCCGATTGCTTTTTATCACCCCTTCTCCCCATGAGTTCTCCGTTATTATACAATTGGCGCTTCAATAATTTACGCTGACCTAGGGCATTTGGTTAGGGCACCTTGCTTGCGTTCCCTGAGCACCGCCGTGATATTTAATTTGATTTAAACAACAACCTGTATTTACTATTTATAATAATAATTTTGTTTTGTTTTTTTTTCCATACAGTATTCCGATAACAGTGTACCGATCCGTGTGAATTCCACGCCCGATTGGTCATTAGACTTGACCGTCGACAGTCCACAACCGTCGACTGCCTCCACTGTCGCTATCGACGACGATGCTGTCTGTGAAATCCAGTCGGATGACTCGGGCGATGATGTTATAATGGTTAGCGAAGAATCCGTAGAAACAACCGAGCAGGCTTGTCCGGCGGCTGTTGTACCCGCGACGGTTGCTGACGATGAACGCAAATGTGCCGACCGCCGAAATACGAAATCCACGCGGCCCGTACACGCGCACCGTGTACGCATTTCGAGCATGGTGCTTTTCACGTGTATGAAACCGGCGTGCAATGTACTTACATCGAGTTTAAAATCGTTCAAATCGCACTGTCGTCTACATTTAAAAATCAAACACGGCTTTACATGCTGGAAGTGCGTAACCGTTTTTCCCAGCGTGAACGAACTCCGGACGCATCAGATTCACACCGAATGTCAAAAACCTGCAATGTTCAAATGTTACGAGTGCGACACGTTTTACGATAACATACAGATATTGAGCGTGCACAAGCTCATCAAGCACGAATGCACGGTTATTGGCAAGCACACCACGTTACGGTGTCCGTTTTGCAAAATTGAACGCAACGCCAACACGTTCCGGAACCATTTGATCGAGTGCCGGCACGAACGCGACAATTTCGTGTTGTACGCCAGCCCGAAAAAACCTGACCCGTACGACGCCATCGCGACCATAGCCGAAAAATTGAAATTATTAACGTTTAAATGTACTCATTGCCGAAAGATTTGCAAGACCCAAAGCGCTCTGACCAATCACTTGAAAAAGCACGCAAACGAGGCCACGAAGAAACGTTTGAATGCAAAACGAACGTACAAGATAATCGACCGGTCCGCAAATGGTAAACTAACAATTTCCACCGCCATCGGTGATAGCTCTCGGTCAACCGACAACGTCGATGGCTCACTGACACCACCGGAACCAGAGCAATTCGGTGCGCCGTTTAGTTTGTCCGACCTTTGGTCCGGTTGCTCCGCCGGTGTTGGCGTACGGTGCACGAAATCGCCGAAAAAACCATCGCCGGCCAACTACTATTGTGGCCAGTGCAAAGAGTATTTCACGCACGCCGAGTTCGCTCAACACATGAAGACCATACACGGCCAGCAGGTCCGGTCCAGGAGGTACCGGCGTTACAAATGTGACCAGTGCCAAAACAGGTTCATATACAAAATCGCGTTGGCCATGCATCGGGAACACGTGCACGGCGAAGTTAAAATGGAATCGTTGACGGCTGTTGTTGCTACTCCCGGTACTGCGGCTACTGCTGCTGGAGGCGACAACGAAGACATTGGTGAATTTGTAAATTACACAAACGACGGCAGTATCGCCGCCGAATGGAATGGAATCGCCGAAAATAACGACGGCCACGTGGGAACCGAACAAAACCAAGTGTTACTCGACGAGTGGGAAATGTACGTGTCGAAAATCGCCAACGAGATGATTAACGAAAACAATACGACGACCACATCGGCCGATATTTTCATCGATTTGACTGAAGACTAAGAACACATTTGGTTAGGTCACGAAAGAAGGCGAAATGCGAGCGTTAAACTATAAACTAATTCGCTAACGAAATAGTGAACATAGGACAGTATTTTCGGATATTGACCGTTAATCGTGGCGAAGCTGTATAATTAAACCCAACATAATAAATATTAAGATTATATATTAGACGAAGGGCACAGGGGAAGGAGGGTAGTAGTCCATTTTTTTTCAATTTCTAGATAATAATAATAAATAAATGCGTGTGGCGTATTGACCGGGAGTGGCTATGGCTAACTTTATGCCAATTCGGTCGCCGGGTGCATGGCATTTCAGGCATGCATTCGGGGTTGATAGTATGGGTCGCCGCTAAAAATGCTCTCCTAAAAAATTGTCATGATTGGACTGCTACCCTTCTTCCCCTTTGCCCTTCAGATAATTAGGTGTTTTTAATGTAGTTGTATTATAATATTTCAATATATTACTTAAGTAAGTTAAATAAATTAGATTGCTTATATTAGAATAATAGTGTGCACAATATTTATAATAATTAATGAAATTATTACTTTTCGTTTTACGTTAGCTTACTGTAATTTTCTTGTACGTATAAAATGGTATGTTCGATTTACTATTGTGTGTAGCATTCCTCGTATTATGCTCTTCTTGGACTTGTATTGTCCGTTTTATTATATTTAATCTGTTTTGAAAAATGGAATACTTCCTATATGTATAATCGCTTTTAGAATACTTATTATATACATTCAATATAATCATAATGTAATAATATAATTACAATGTAATCATTTAAGTATAAAAAAATAAATACAAATTATTGAACGCGCGTATAACTTTAAATGTTATTCAACTCAATAAAAAAAAAATTGTATTTATAAACCTATTAAATAATTAATTAATACTATCTAAGCTATAATAATTTTTTTTATGTGTGTAGCGGTAATTTTAATAATATTCCAAATGTTGTTTATGCTGTTGAACGTATTATATAATATTGCCAAAAATAAACGTTTATTAGTCATCATAACTCATAATTTAATTTGTTATTATTTGTTATATAGTTTGTACCTAAACAAGTCACATGTAAAAAAAAATGTATGGATTGCGTACTATAGACTGATTAAAATACAGAGATTGCAATAAGTGCCTATAGCGCATGAACAAATTGTATTAATTATTAATTGCAATATCGTTTTTAGCCTTGAAAACAGTTGTAAAATGTATAGTTGTATACACAGCTCATTTGCCATAATATATTAAACATAAATCTATTGTATATGTTTAATCAATGGCCGTAAAAGGTCTTTTTATCTGGAGAGGATAAGAAGCGAATGCTAGGTAAGTGAGAAGTGAAAAAAAACGAGAATAGAGTTAAATGCAAAATAGCCAATTCCAAACTGTAAGTATCGTTTTTGAACCCAGACCCCCCCCCCCTGGATACAGACATGGAACCTGACCCTTCTTATTCACTCATTTAAACGATTTTTTTACTCATATACTCGATTTAACGAACCAAAATAACATTATAATTTTACTACATTTTTAGTTCAAGGCCACAAGTTTATGTATGATATACCAACATTCGTATTCATTTTTTAACTAGATGATAAAAAAACTCCACTGAAATACCAGTCACGGAATTACACGGATCTATGTTAAACTATGGTAACTAAACTTACTATTGTTTAACTTAAAAATATCAATGTCCAATTGTTTTATTATTATTATTATGTATTTAATTATCTTTTATACTTTTTTGTCTTCAAAAATTATGTCATTCGATTGATTAGAATATATTGTGTTGTATTGGCAACCCAAATTAAAGAGCAGTTCGTTTATATTATTTTATTAATTATGTTGCTTGTATAATATATATATGTTGTAATCAGTAATACAATTATTTTTAAAGAATAGAAATTACGTTATTTTATTACTTTTAAAAATAATTTTGATTTAGTAACAATAAAAAAACCTGTGTGAGTGTGATCTGATTTTCATTAGACATCCATTAGATTTTCTTGGCTTCCTGCAAGTTTCGTGCCGCAACTGCAATGATCTGCCCTAGCCGGATAACACCGCTTTCGCCTGAGACTACTAACATTACTAGATGTTTACAATGAAATAACAAGTACCTAGTGAAAAAAATTATATACTTCTCATCACAAGTAGCGGGGATGGCCGCAGTCACGGTGACGTCATCGTTTAACGTTAACAAACGATTACTCATTATATTTGCAAGGGTTATAATTTTAATATATTATTATAATGTTAGAATCAATTTGGTTGTTTATCAGCGTTTGAGCGGGCTGTTAACTGGATTTTGGCGTTTGATTTCGTTGTCGTCGGTTTGACGGCCACGCATGTAACGAAGCTGGTTTTTCCCGTTCACCATTTCCGCCGTAATGCGAATTCTGGCCACGCCCGACCCCGGTAACTCGTACATGGGTTCCAACAGAATGGATTCGACGATGGCCCGTAACCCGCGGGCGCCGGTGTTTCGTTCCAGCGCCTGTTCGGCGATCGCCAGGAGCGCATCATCAGTGAACGTCAGGTCGACTTTGTCCAGGCCGAACAGCAGTTGGAACTGTTTGATCGTGCTGTTTTTGGGTTCGGTTAAAATCTGAACGAGCAAGTTTCGGTTTAGCGAGTGGAACGGCACCAGAACCGGGAACCTGCCCACGAACTCGGGGATCATGCCGAACTGGACAAGGTCCCGGGGATTGACTTGCTTCAGCAAATCGTCTCTTTCGGCGTTTTGTTTTTCCACGTCTGACCCGCTGGACGATGTGTGCTCGACAACTGTCGGCGGTGGTCGATTGCCGCCGAAGCCGAAGCTGTTCAATTTGGTCCGGCGGCCAATGAGCTTGTCGAGCCCGGTGAACGCGCCGGACGCCACGAACAGTATGTTGGTGGTGTCCACCGATACGGTTTCGCCGCGGAGTTTCCGGCTGTTTTTGTCGGGCACGTTCATCACCGTGCCCTCGAGCATCTTCAACATGCCCTGTTGGACGCCTTGGCCGCTGACGTCCCGCAGATGTTGGTGACCGGACACGGCGAAGATTTTGTCGATCTCGTCCAGGAACACGATTCCCGTCTGCGCTCTGTTCACGTCCGAATTGGCCGACTGCAAGAGTTTGCCGATCACGCTCTCGATGTCTTCGCCCACGTAACCGGCCTGCGTCAAATTGGTACAGTCGCATATGGCGAACGGCACGTCCAGATGCTTGGCGATGGACTGCGCCAACAAGGTTTTGCCGCATCCCGTGGGCCCGATCAGCATGATGTTGCTCTTCTCCAGCGTGGTGTTGTTGAACTTTTCGTCTTTGTCGTCGTTCTTATTGGCGTTATTCAAGTGCAGCGCGGCGTCCAGCGAGTGGTTGCCGGGGAAGAACTCGCGGGCGTTCAACATGTTTTCTACGTGCCGGTCGACGGGAACGCGCTTGACCGGCGGCGTCTCGGCGTTGTTGTGCAATATCCGTTTACAGTGATTGTACACGGCCACGGATAACACTTTCTTGGCCAGTTCCTGTCCGATCACGTATTTGTTTAGGTTTTCTGCTATTTCTTTTGGCGTCGGCGGCGGTTTGCGTGTGTTCTTGTCCTCGGCCCCGATTTTGGCGAAGCTGTTCAGCAGTTCTTCGTTGGATACTATTTTGAAAACGTGAAAACACTTTGGACATCTGCCGAACTTGTCGGTGGTCAAAAACAACTCTAAAAACGAATCCGCGCTTTTGCATTTGCCGCAGTGTATACCTGTATGGATGTTTCCGCCCGCTGATCCCGAACCGCTTACGGTCCGCCTCCAGGTTGACGACAAGTGGACGTTTCTCTGCGGTGCGTTGTTTGGCCGAAACAGATGGCGAGCGACGGATTTAAAATTTCCACACGGGTTCACGTGATGGCTTCCGTGTGATTTCAATGCTACTCTGTAGCTCGACCAAAAATATCGAAATTTCGATGACATCTTGTGACAACCCAGTGTGTTTTAAAACGTGTAAAATGTTTGTTTATTTCTTCGATGTTGTATAATACGTGGGTAACTACCGCCCGATAAGAAATATTATTGGCTTAACATGAAATACCGTATTATTAAATTACGATTAAATGGTATTAATGCCTAGTCGAGTTTTAAGGAGTTAAAATATTAGACTATGTCATTAAACTTAAATAATATGACCTAAGTGTTATATACTTGAACATTTTGAAGAAAGGTTTACAAAAAAATATAAAAAGACAACTGTATTGATTTTTTGCTTATTTTATTGCAAAATACAAGAAATTGAAAGGTTTAAATGAACATCGGCTTCCTAAATAACATAGCCAAGTAGACAAAAAATTTAAATATTTTTACAGAATTGAAATCGGATCATGTAGTCAAAATTTGTTTAGCTTTTTAATCTGAAATAAATCAAAATTGCTATTTCTCATAGAAAAAAAAAATTTTAATTAAAAATAATACCTTGAAGCCTATAGTTACCACTCCCTTTCAAATTCTCTTTTTACACAATTCTGTTTGTTTCGTTAAGAAGAAAAATAATGAAGAGAGATTGTTATTAACTTAAAAAGTCTTATTCAGTTATTCCTCTTAAATCGACAAACTATCGTTTTATCAGGACGTTATACCCCTAAATTTCTAAGCATTCCGTACAGTCATGTTTTTACACCAGACTACGCGAATAGCTATTTACTTAGACCATGATGGGTTTAAACAAAAACACCTATAATAAAATCAAAAGTAAACAACATTTTTGAGATAATGACATATTCTTTTGTCTCGTTTTAAAGTTAAAACTGTTTAAAATTGTTAAAAAAAAAAAGAAAATATTTTAGCTTCAATGCGGAGCAGCGATGCTTTTGTTAAATGTTCAATTGTAAGATAAATATTTGGTCTATCCATCTTTTAAAGCTGAATAATTGTAAGCATTTGTTATAAATCGTTGATTTTTAATCTTGTAATGTTTACATAATACGGAAAATCTATTGGCTATTTGGTTAAAAGAGTGTGTAATTGAAGCGAGGCCTTTAAAGTTGACTCCAATTTGAACCATATTATCATTAGTATTTTGAGATAATGTTATCTCGGTTCGTAATATCAAATATCAATATTCGTCTTGATCAGTAGCTAATAGCTGTTAAAATGATTTTTTTTTTATTACAACTTAAATTATGTAAATAAATATCTACAAATAGAAATTATTTGATTCTTTTATTATAACATTATGTAATATGTCTTGCAGCCAAGAGGCACCAAGCGTTATGTTGCAGTGTTCTTGTATCAATTTAAACGGTATGAACCAAATTATAATTATTATCATCTATAAATGTATTATACATTTGAACTTAATTGATTTGTATGGATTCTAAAGAAGTATTTAAACAGAAAATCAGAGTAAAGTGAAACAGAGTAAGTGGTTGACTTTTTTGTAGGTATATAGAAGTAGTACACTTAGTGTATTATGGTTTTTATGTTTCTGTTTTACATACCTATAATAGATTACTGGTTGGAAAAACTAACATCAGCTTATGAAAGTAAGAGAAATATTCAAACACTTCCACTTATATTCCACTATAAATTTTTGTGTACTGGCATGTGAGCAGTGCTAAAATTGTACAATCTCATCTCCATAACAAGAAAAAAAAAATTATGTTTTTTACATTAGTTATTTTTTTTTTGAAGACTAGTAGTAAACAAATAATAGTACGTAATATATTCTAGAAAAAACTTTAGCAACTTATGGTTATGTATAATAAAATAATATTTAACGTAATATATTGCTATTACAAGTTACAACTTGCTGTACACAATATTATAAATAAAAATGCATGTAATTAATAATGTTATATTACAATAACTTCACACTTTCATACAGTTGAGGACATTGAGCAAACATAAAATGTTTCAACACATTATCATGTAAATTCTCTGTGCTACTATATAGTAGCAATACTATATGATACTCATGTAAGACTATATGATAATCATATAGTCTTACAGTTACAGTTATGGATATAATATATCTATTATTTACTAATCGTTGGGATTTTTTTTTTCTAGCTACATTATGGCTACAGATTTTGGCTCGTTTGTCAATCTGTTATCAGAATTGAAAACTGTCAATGATCTGAGTTGGAGTTTGAAACCCATAGACCGAAAGGTAGTGAAATACAAAATGGAATCTTATAAAATGGATTTATCGATTGATGAAAAAAGGAAAATACTCGAAGATACAGTAAAAATGTTTATTAAAAAGGTGATAGTAACTACTAATAGCATTGTGTAGTTGCATTAATAATTGAAGTTAACTTAACTAAAGTTCAGTATGTCTTGGTTATTAACTGGCACAAATGTACAAATGTAAATATTTCATTATGTTATTATCATCATCTTTAATAACACCGTTATTGTTTGTTATATTTTTCTAGAGAAATACAGTAGATCAGTTACAAGATACTAAACAAGTTACAGCAATGGTGCTGGGATTGGTAAACGACCTCAAAAGTACCAAAAACTATGTGACTATAAGGATGTTGGGATACATTTTGATTAAAATCTTAAAATCCAAGCTCGGAGGTCTATACATTAACGAGATGAAATTGGTCACGGTACATATCAACAAATGACTCTCTTTTTCAAGAACTGTTTGTTTATTTCTTTACACAAATAGATAAATTAAGTGTATCAATTTATTTTACACAATACATTTTCTTTGCGGACCATTGATTAATAGATTGTAATTTGGGGTGGTTGCTAGGACAACGTCTACTTTCTATTGATGGATTACAGCTTAGGTGGTCCATTAAGGGTCATTGCTGTCATTTACTTTCTAGACAGTAAAATAAAAAAAATATATAATTTAATTATTTATTTTAATAATTATTATAAAATTAGTAATAATATGTAGCTCGAGTAAAAAATTGCATATTGTATAACGATTCCTTATTCCAGATGAAACATAATTTTCACCAAAATCCTGTGATATTTGTTCCGAGCCATAGGAGCTACCAAGATTTTATTTTAATGGCATTCATTTGTTTTCATTACGACATTGAAGTGCCGTATGTGGCAGCGGCTATGGGTATAATTACTATACTAATGTATTTTGAGGGTATAGCGATTGCGCGTGTTGGTACACACCATAAAGCCATAACAGTATATGTTGGTTTTACTTTTGTAATTTTAGACTTTTATTTTGTGTGTTTGATCCTTTCATTTCATTTCATGTAGGAACCATTTGTGGCAATAAACATTTATCTTTTTTTTTAGTAGATAAAGTGGTTTGCTGCTTATTGCGTTACCAGATTATTTCCAAAAACAAAGCTGTGTTTACTATATTAGTGCATTAGTTATGGTGTTCATATAATGTAACTAATGGTTTGGATTAGAATCTTTATTTATTCATATTGGTAAAAATATATTTTATTAGATTATTCCTAGATAATGTTATGCATGGATAATGTAACTGATAAGTCTAATTGTCTTGCAGTATTATTTTCATAGAAACTAATGTGTGTATCTGTGTGTGCGTAATGTTTTTACTACATTTTTTTAAGTTATAATGTTTGTCATTTATTATTATCATAACTAACTATAGAATTAAAACTTCCATTTACGTTTTTACCTTAGGTTTAATAGTTGTGATACGTACAACTAATTAGTTAAAAGAAACGTAAATATTGTTGAATTCCGTGACTTAATTTTAATTGTTTAAATACTGTATAGTATAGTCACAACTCACACTGCTAACCCTAGAACTCAAAGTTAAAAACAGTAAATTACAAAAATAATTTACAAGGTACAATAACTACTTTCAAATTCTAAACTCAACAGTTATGGCAATTATTAAATATTTGTGTAGATAAACCAACAAATTATAGTTAAATAGAAATATTTGAAGGGCTGCAAAACAAACAATTATTCACTCGTTCTTTTTTTTTTAGTTTTTTTTCTAAAATTTAGATTAATAAATTTGATTATTTTGTAATTAAACTTGTCAATAAATAAAGTTAAAGGGCAATATTATTTTATCTGCGTTATCTTATATCCACTTATATCTTATAGTCTTTTTGAGTTCTGAAACTTTCAAATTGCAATACTGAAAACTGTAGGTGTATTGACTATGATATTTTTTCCCTGCAGCCCTTTATTTATATTAGGTAGTGATTATTAGTTATAGTACTTGCTTAATGATTAGCTTCATATTAAAAATAATAACTTCCAACATTCTTGAACTATTATCCGTTTTAAAAGAAAAGTCATAGCATTTATAGAAAATTAATCAATACAATTTAAATGGTTTATTTTTTATAAATTTTTTTATTTTACCTAGATTTCAAGAACATGAAGATAATGGGAAATTTGCTTAAACAATGTGGCGCTTTTTTTTTGAGACGTAACAAAGCATTTCAAAATACTGTTTACCGTTCGGCGTTGTACGCGTATGTTAAGCATTTACTGGTCTATGAAACTGCGCCATTACAGTTTTTTATCGAGGGTACGAGAAGTCGTGCAAACAAGTCAATACCACCAAAATTTGGTAATAATGTGTTTAATTCATTTCCGTACCTCAGAACTAAATGAACATAGATCCGAAAATTGTGATTCTGATCGTGATAGAATCTGGTTTTGAATCAAGCCACACAATTGGTATTCCGTTAATACTTCTCCTTTTATAATTTACAAGCGTTTTTAGAGTGAAATTCTTTATAAGATCACAAGCTAGAACGTTAATTGGTTTTCAGGCTCTCCTGAAAAGTTGACATAATGTGACTTAGTTTGTCTGGTTCTGATGTACAGATTTTCTCGTGTATATAAATTACGACAAATCATTATTACTTTAAATTTGTTAAATATTAAAACCATTAATATAGCTTTTTTTTTTTAAGAGTTCATTAAATAATTTTTAAAAGTTCAATAGTTTCACAACAGCTATAAAATAACAATTATTTGATAATAATTACTATTGGTTGTTTGCAGGACTTTTGAAATGTATTGTAGATACTTTACTGAATAACGAAGTTCAAGACATCACTCTTGTGTCAATTTCCATCAACTATGACCGACTTCTAGAGGACAAACTATTTGGTTATGAACTCTTAGGAATTCCTAAACCGAAAGAAACAACTATGGTACGTATTTTGAAGCATGTCAATAGCTTGACATCATCAATCCACGATAAGTTTTTTAAAATAGTTGAAATACTTTCAAGTTTGTATGAATATTCTTTAACTATGGCATTGTCGATATATGTTGACTAACCAAAAAGTATCAAAAGTCCTATACAAATTTGGAACTAACTTGACTATTTTTTTAAACAGTTATAACGTGGTGTAATTTTAAGTTAAAAAATATGTAAATTTGTTGAGTGTCATAACATTTTTTTTTTAATGGCAAAGTTGTGTACTAGTTTCCATTTGTTACTGTTTTTAATGAATTATTTAATAAATTCATGTTCTAGGGACTGATAAGCAGCATTAAGAATATGGATGGCAAATACGGTAATGTTTACGTTAATTTTTCTTCTCCACTTTCAGTACGACAATACGTTGACGAAACAATAAGTAGTGATTGTTGTTGTGAAAATGACGTTGTGAAAAATCTTGCATACGAAATAATGTTTAGGTAAATTATGGTAGTTAGTAGTGTATAGTTATTTGTGGGTACCCCTATATTATAAATTTAGTAATATTCCTTATTATTAGTAGTATTACAAGTAGTAAATATAAAATATACAAATGATCAATGGTAAGTAACAGTCAATGAGTTTTCAGGCAACAACACGATATGGTATTGTCGTATGTAAATATTTTGGCAGTCGCGTTAAATTACAATTTATCAAGGCATTCGATTAAGACTGTTCAATTAGATATTGTCGTCAATCAAATCAACTGGATAAAAAATCTCTTAAGAAAATGTGGGGCCCGTATCGAAAATATTAGTAAGCTACCAAAAAATATATTACTTTATATCACAATAATCTAGTATTGAATATTTGATAACTTAAATAATTATGAATTTATTCATAGTTATACATCATCAATATTTAAAAGCGTATTTAATTTTTAATTTTGTTATATTTAATAATATGTGTGACTGTAGACTTAAATATTTTTTAACAAATAATTAAAACTGCTCCAAAAACTTAACTCAAGTCTGTAACATATCCCCAAAATGTATAAAAAAGAAAATTACATTTTTATTTATTTTACTCGCATATTTTCAGATTCCGACGACAGAAGCAGAATTGTTGAAATTATTCAACTGCATCACAACTATTTAATTTTAAAAGACGACCTCATACAATTTCGTACTCATAATTCACAACAAAAATTATGTAATCTACCAGGTACGCGATTAAGTTTTTTTATTATACAATATATATGACGTAGTACTAGTCCAATGTAAATATTGTATAAACCTAAAAATAAAACATGGACGGCATATTTTATGCAAATTCTCTTTTGCAAGCTTGCAAACATTGCCCAGGAAGGGGGCTGGGTGTCCTTTAAAACCTAAAAAAATATCTTGATAAAAAATGAACAATAATCTAAGAAAATAATCGCCAGGCTAAAATTATCTTTGTTTGTTATATTGTATAAGATATAACAATGAAGTTTGTCTAAAGGTTTTTTAAAAAAATTGTTTATGTTATAGTTCCATTCTACTTTCGGTATAATTTTCAGACATAAATCCCTAAAACTTTGTTTGAAAAAGTGAAATAAAGAAAACATTTTGATCCCTTCTAGGGTAATGGGTTTATGATAATTTTTTGAGTTGTCAACGTTTATCAGTAGAACGGTTTTTAAGTACGGAAATTTCAACGTGTAGCAAAACCAGTTCAATATGGCATTCAATTTGTATCTAATTTCCACGAGATAGATAATATTATATTATTGAGATGAGGTTCACAAGTCGATTTTTCTAAATTGTTTTGGCTTGATGTTAATTTATTTTACCAAAAATTGCCTTAGTAACCTGTATCTACCGTTACCTTTAACTAGTTTAATAATAAAAAAAATGTCGGATTTTTTTTAGTTTTGATGGTTTATTGATAATAGTATAGAATTTGTGAATATAAATTCTAACATTTTTAATTTTGATATATATTATTTTAAAAAATTAATTTTATTTCAGTCTTTATCGTCTTTTGAATCTTTTTGCGTGGAAAAATCTTTACTGTTCGTTATACTTATAAGTTATAAAGTATAAGTCAGAGATGTTACTCATTTCATTTGATCGTGGAACCTGAACTTTTATCATCCAATAAAAAACTTGGATCTTTTATTAGTGTCTTTTTTTATTGAGTTATGTAAAACTGAAATGGCTAGCAATTCATGAAGTAAAGCAATGTTAAATGAACTATCATCTTAAGAAATTTTAACAGAACATACGATATTCTACTACATATTCTGTTATAATTCTTATTTCTCTATCAAATACCTACCCAATTTAAAAAATCTATAACCAAATAATAGATTGGTATAGCAAGTTCATTGTTGAATAACTTATAGTTATTATGAGTAATGGAAAATAAATTGATACCTGAATTATGTTATATGACAATTCACTTAAAACTGGAAATAAGTAAAAAAAATCTGCAATTTTTTTTTACAATATACTAAAAATGACAGAGAGTGAGGTGAGCAGAGGAAACCAATTTTATAAGTAGAAATATTTTGATTTTGGTAATTTTTAGTAAAAAAAAGTTTACATTGAGCCAAAACAATTCACAGTATCAGCTTTTAGATGTCATTAATATCACTCTGCTTTAAAGTAGATGCAAACTGGTTTTGTACACTTTGAAACTTCAGTATGTTAAAGCCCTTAAGTAATTAAAAAAAAGCAAAAACTCGAAATTACTTTTTATACCGTTAAAATATTAAATACTTATTAAGTATTTACATTAAATACTATATCCAAAAATGTCCATTTTTTATTTTTTTGAAGCACTTATCTCAAAAGACAATTTTTTTTTCATATTACGCAGCTGCTTCGGAATCTATGTTTATGTAGGTTGTTGTTAATAATTGCATTAAAATTTGTATTTTTATAGATGGTAACTTGAATTTTTATATGGAAACGTTCGATAATGCATTTCCATTGATATTGAACCAACTTTATGTAAATCCAACGATGCATTTTTTTGTAAACGTAGCATTCATCAGTGTAGTGATCAATTGTGAAATTACATGGAAAAATAGTGAGTGTCTTGTAATTATCGTGCACATTATAAGTATCTACTAGAAATTATGATCACCGATTTGTGATTCATAATCATAGTAGTCGTTCTCGGCCATTTATATAATCGATCAAATGTATAACAGAAACACAATACATTAATGTATTTATATAATAAACGACATTCCATAACTGGTATAGTTACACTAAATTTACTAAAACCACCCAATTTTTATTTTACAGATTTATTGGATTTACGACGCAAATATATTTTGTTGAGGTGGTTGTTTGAATATGAATTTGCATTTTCTGAAACTTTAGAAATTGAAGTAAATTAATATATATTACTATCATCTACAAATATGCATTAATACCGTTTATTTGGAAATCCTTTCAAATTTAATAAATTAAATTATAAATATATAATATATTAAAAATTAATAAAATATATACATATATTTCTTGAAAAAAAGAATTTTATTTTAGTTTTTTTTTTTTTTTACCAGGATTTCAAAAACAGTATTGCGTTGTATCGTCATGTAGACGATGTAGAAAAACAGCTGCTTCGATACTCGATCATACATCCTTTCTTGACTGGCTACCATTTAATTTACGACGTTCTTAAAGACGTGAGTTGACAAATTATTTATAAGTATAAAAATAAGTATGTAATATTATAATATTTCACTGTTGAGTTGTAATCCAGTGGTCGGTGTACAATTTAAATGAAAACTTTTGCTATTGTTGTATATAGGTGTCATCGGAAAGTATTTCAGATAAACGCATCTACAAATTAGTTTATCTGCGAATACAAGAGCGGTTGCTGTTGGCTCCAAGTGAACTTTATTCAAACTCTAATCTGTACTGTTTGTCCAAAGATTTAATTAAATTTAACTTGGAAGCACTTGAAAAAATGGGAGTCATCAGAATGACTGTCAAGAGGTAATTTTTTTTCACCTTTTTAATGGTGTATGATTCGTGTGCAAAACAATTAGGTTGTGCAAATATCATAGACCTAGTAATACTACTTTTTTACTTTATTGATATTTTAATACATTTTTCTACTGAAGTTGTCATATTTTTTTGTTTTTTTTTTTGATATCTAATTAGTTGTATAAATAATAATTTAATTTTAGCAACGAATCAAAATTTTATCAAGTCACCAAAACACTGGTGTCGGAATTGTCAAGTATTTTAGGTAAGAACAATATAGTTGTCACTGTTGTTGTTTAACTATTTTGGCTACTTAAGCAATACTTCATAAAAGCTTTAGTCCATGTAATTTTTTTTTTTTTGTGATTAGTATTAATGTTATGAAGGTTTGCAAAGTTTTCTATAACTTATTTACTAATTAACAGGAATCTTTATTGGGTTTTCAGATAATATCATTACGTCCAACAACAATAACAAAGACATTTTAAAATCAAAAATTTAACAGCAGGCTACATTCTACGTACTGTTTTGTATTTACTAATAATTTCCAATAGTATCTACTAGTGTAAGTATAGATTAGGGTTTACGATAAATCGCCATAGCTCTTATTTTGTGCTGCCAAATTATAACGTTCCCATTACAAACATTCCACATTTATAACACTATTCAGTTGGAATAGTGTTATAAAATTTGGAACATAGTCAAATATTATGTTATGTTCTGTTTAATTGAGTTTATAATGTTATGTTATGTTATGTTACGTTATGGAACCCTAGCCTGGAACACCGGTGTTAAATTCTACATTGTTATACCTCTAGTTTTTATTTTTTTTAACTGATCTCGAATTTGTTTTATCTTATTTGTTATTTCTTACTTATTTAAATAGTTAAATATTATATTACACTTATTTCATAGTATTTATTATTATAGATAACATAAAATATCCTTAGAACTGTATGAATTATAACGTATAATACTATTTATTATACATTTTGTTGTATGAAAATATGTTGTTAAATAAAAAATTATCACGCATTAATTTGTTTTTACTCGTAGGTTAGTAATAAAAATGTAAGAAAAAACTAGAAAAAATCTGGAACTAGGAATTTTAGAAATTTCTAGTTTGTCTTCAATTTTTCTCAGTTGGCTAGTGAAACTCCTACCTGAGTATTCATGACTGTATAAAAATTGTATTTGACAACACTACATTTTTAATAGATTTGTTTTTTAGTATTAAGATTTTTTAGTCTTGGTAATTAATCTGTAAAACTTTGGTATTGGAGTAAAGTTTCAGGAAGTTTTAGGGGTTATCCTATAAAACTTCCATATTGGGGTCCACTTTTTTGAACTCCTTCGAATAAAACATTTGTCTTGAGAAAGAGAGTAGTACTTGGAGGTTCACTGTAAATGACAATGGAAGCACACAAAACTGTAGAGCTGATGTTATAATTTTGGTTTTTGACAGTAAAACAGATAAAGGTTTAGTATCAGATTCGACAATACGATAAAAGATAAAAATTACTCTCAACAGGTTAATAAAAATAACGATCAAAAATCTTTAAATGGACCACACATCTCTTCTATCTAGAAAACATGGTATTAGTGAATTCGGGGGCAGGGGGGGGGGTGTTTTTCAATGCGAGTATCGGTTTCAGATTTGAAAGAGCATGGAATTTTAACTTTTAATAAACAATTTAATTGAAATATGTACGTTCTTGTAAAAAAAAAAAACCTGACGTATCATACTTATATCACAAAAAATTGTCACTGTATTTTTGTTTTCCTCTTATTTTTTTTTTTAAATGAATTGCTTATAATTTTTTTTATCTAATTATTGTTTATTTTTGTTAAATATATCACGGCGTGACTATAACACGTTCTAATGTAATTTTTTTTGCAAAATATTTTTTGGCCACCCAAATTCAAATTTTGATTGCCGCCCAATCCTTTACAAAGATTCCGTTATCATAATGATTTATTTTCTGTTTCATGAGATCGCCCTTGGGGAAAACGATTCACTGTTGTTTTTTCGACTCTATCGTGCCGCAAACTCGTGCTGCCCGCCGCTATTTAGCCGGGTCGTGGAAAAATAAATTCGGCGTTGTACTCGGTAATCAGTCATAATATTACATTATTGTATTGCTGCTGCAGCTATAGTGTTGGTTATTGTATATTTTTGTTTATTAAAGTTCATGTACCCATTCGAGTAACGTTACGTTAAATAATTAATATTTACCATGAAGTTAGTCAAGTAAGTGAAAATCGATTGTATATTTTACTTTCCATTATTGAGAAGTTTGATGTACACGGTACAACAGGGGCACGTCTGCAGTACTGCAACTGTTGAAATTCAAATTATTGCTAACCGCCTTTATACAATTTTTAAACCAGGACCATTAGTATTCAGCTGTGGCAGGGTTTTTTGAAAGGGTTTACACAAATTTCACAACTATTACAACCTTTGGTCAGCGTAGCTACATTTTTTGACAATGATAATTATTTTGTGTACGCCTATGTACAAACTTAAACGGTTAGGTATGGATATATCCGATTTCTGAAAGATATTATTTTACTAACAACAAAATAAAAAACTGGCTTGTAATGTAATCTTAGTGATAGCCTGACGATCATATTATGCTAATTGTGGTCGGTGTACAACATGCAAACAACAATATGGCTGCAGAAAGGTTTAGCTAAAAGTATGACGTATTTATCTTATAAAAAAAATATTAAACTGCATTGATTAGGGCACAAAAAAGTCATAGGTACACAAACTACCTTTATTTTATTGTTGTACATGTTATATTAACTTAGCTTGGTCCAATTCAAATTTGGTTTTAGTAGTATTTCAAGGTTAATTTTTCATTATGCACTGCTGACTTAAGGTTGTTGGCTCTTGCCTAGCATAAGCTGTTGTTCAAAACAGCTGGAGAACTTTTGAATTTACCAAAGAAGTAAATTAATATGGAGACGATAGTTGATAAGTTCGAGAAAATTGGTGTTGCCAATACTAATGTTTATACGCATTTTATTTGGCTGTAAGGCGTAATAAATATGCTGTATGTGTCCATATGACTGGTGTCATAATGTTTGGGATAAACAAAAGAAAATGTTTTTTTTTTAAATATCTAAATAACAACTAACCGTTTAATATTTTTCTTTAGGTTTTTAATGAAACTCAGTCATGAAACAGTGTCTTTAGAATTGAAAAATGGAACAACCGTCCACGGAACTATCACAGGTACTACATTTTTTTTTATTCAGTAAAAAAAAAGTTCAGTTTGGCTTTTTTGTCAGTATCATTTTTGTATATCAAAACGTGCATGGGCTTGTATCAAAGGTTCACTTGATATTTTATTTATACTGTTAATTAAGTATTTAACTCTATTTTATTCAATGATCTTTTCTATGTGTCAATATGTGTTGGTATAACAGAACAAGTATATAAAATAAATCATAATAATATAATATTCATTATTCTTTTAAATAAAGTGAATTGTGTAATCATAATTTGATTTACATGCTTGTAATGTAATATGTGCTATAATTGTTCTGTTGTGCCTACTTAATTTAATTTAATTATTTACTCTTTAAATAATTGTTATTATTGTTAACAGTGGTAGATTAAAATATAATTTTTTTTTCTTTAGGTGTAGATGTAGCTATGAACACTCACCTGAAAGCCGTCAAAATGACCGTAAAAAATCAACAGCCTATACACTACGAAACACTAAGTATTCGAGGAAATAACATTCGCTATTTCATTTTACCAGATTCCCTTACTCTAGAAACACTGTTGGTCGACGATGCGCCTAAATCACGCATGAGCCGTGCCGGACGAGGAGGCAGTCGTGGAGGTACAGTATAGTCAGTCGTTGGGTTGTTATCAAACTGTAGTACATAATGAAAATAGTTGTAAAAACGGTTATCATTATTTGTACAGCGGTAACAGGTTTGCTTTCTTCACTTTACATTTTCAAATGAAGTTAGTGTTTATTAAAATTTATTTTTACAATTTGTTAATAAAAAATGTTTATTAGTAACCACTAGTCAGTGGACAATATGTTAAACTACAAGTACTCTGAAAACTTTATTTTAGTTATTGATGATAAAGTTTTGAGCCTATATTTCCTTAGCTGTGGCCACTGAATTCAATATTGAGTTCAGTGGCTGTGGCAGTTACCTATTGGCAGTAGTTGTTGTCAACTTTCATTTTACCAAGTAACACAATAATTAGTTTCTGATTAAAATGTATATATGGACTGTTATTACCCGTTGTATTAATTATATATTAGACCTACAGAACAGCGGTAATATTCATCTATATTACATAGTAATTTATAATAATGATTAAATTGTATTTGAATAACACAATATTTTTATAGTTGTCGACTGTGCTATGCTATTTGTTGATACAGACTTGCAGCATTTTTTCTATAATTTTTTTTTAGTACAGGAAAAATCTATGTAGATTAATAAAATAAATAGTAAATGTTTCTTTTAAATTATACACAAAAGATTTAATGAAATAGTTTATAAATACATACAAAACAAATTATAAACTTATTACAATAAATATTATATCACTCCACCAAATTTGTCTTTTTAAACTGCATATTTGTATGTACATGCATGTATTTTTTTAAGGTCATGTATTTTATCTTATTTTTAGGACCTGGAAGGGGACGTGGACGTGGAGGACCTAGGGGTCGTGGAGGTCGTGGTGGACCTCGTGGAGGTGGTGGTGGACGTGGACGCGGTGGACCACCTCGACGTTGAGCTAAGATACACAATATGCTACAAACACAAATATTGTGAATGTTGAAAATACTAATAGAATTCCTGTATATTATCAAGTTTTAACAATTAATAATATATATGCTATCAAGCATATATATTTAATAACAATGAACACAATGTGTATCACGAGCTATTATTTTGAATAATAATAATATATTTAATATAAGTATAAGAACAATTTAAAAAAAAAAAACTTCTTTTACATCTATACAATTGCATAATAAATATACGATGAAAAATTCCCTGATAATATCGGGATGATTTAATTTATAATTATTATTGTATTTCATTTTGCAGTCATGAAAGTTTATTTTTTGTCATTACTGTGTAGTATTTTAAGGATAATGGATATATTGGATTTGGATTCATGATGCGTATCTACTAAATAGCACTATTATATATTTAAAATAAACATCAAATTCAATTTTTCATACATGATACGCATTTCAGGTCAGTAAAGCGTAGGTATAATAGCATGTACACTATTTTCCAAGGATAGTAATATTGACATTTGTCAATGACAGTTATACTGCTAAATTCTTTGTGGCATGTGAAACTCATTCCTTCGCTGCACAGACTTTTTTTTCAGCTTTCACGATTTCCCTAGTCTATTTTTATAACATGTTGAATAATTCATCAAATTATCTCACGTCATCTAGTAGTTACATTATAATATATTAAAAATGGTTATTCTTACTAAGTACTATCAATGAAAAAGATACAACTAAATTACCTGTTGCTGAGCTCTACTAACCGCCATGCCGCTAACAGTTAAGATTTGTCATAAAAGGTAAAATATCATGTTGGCATTTTTATAATCATTTATTTTTTAATATTTAAGTGTAGATTGAGCATATTTCCAAACCAATTAAGACACTACTTTCAGAAAATAGTCGTAATCACTCGTGCATAAAATTACTTTAAAATTAAATACAATTATTTCTGTACATAGATTAATAGGTATTTGACCAAAAAAATGGTAAAAAAAAGATTATAAAATATTACTCTGTATTAAGAAGTTTGGCGCCGAAAGAAAATCCATATTTATCCGCTTACTCGTAATTGTACATGAATATATTTGTAATATATACTTTTTATAGTGCTAAATATTGGAATAGTAAATATTTTTTAAAACCACAAAGTAATCTTGGTATGTGTTGCATAAAAACAATTAACATTCAATTCTGTGTAGCATTGTTAGTTTTTTTTTAAAACTACCTACTGAATTTGTTTAAAATATTAAACTAATTTTGCATGAGTGTAATGGCAAAGCAAAAAATTAAGTAGTACACAAAACATATATCCTGCATGTATATTAAAACGTGTTTCTCTTCCTTAATATTAAATAACTACTTAATTAAAAATTCTAAATTTTTATATGTAAATTTGTGAAACATTTAAAGTTGGATGTTATTAAGGGTAAAGATGAATCGTTTCACCTATAGCCGCAAACTAATTTTGGTACATGTTACTCAATGATTACTATCTCTTTCTTATACCTCTTTTAAGTAGCATCAATTTTTTTATTTTTAAAACTACTTATGAATAACATCCTTCACAATGTAGAGAGCTGGTAGGGTATAAATATCGTGAACACTTTTTATTTAGGAGAGCAACATAACCAATATAATACGGGAAATTCTTTATACATTAAAAATTGCCGGAATGCCCTTTCAAAACACTGTACCAATCTAGATCTAAGTTTTGAAAAATTTAATATACCTGGATCAAACAAGCACAATGATTTAACACAAAGCACAATATAATACCAACAATTAACTTCCTATCATTCGTAGAGGTTAAGTTATTTCCCATAATTAATCTTAAAATATGTAGAAATGTCTAATAAAAAAAGCTCTTATCTAATATTTTGTATACATTTGTAATATAAATTTAATATTAACGGAAATTGAAATTTTGTTTTATTGTACCAGTTGGCCTATGTTAGCTATCATTCGTTTAAAATTTATTTGGAAGGTATTTGCACCGTGGGACTGGATCAATGTTTAAATATAAACACTTTTTAAATGAAATGTGGTTATAATTAAATTCAGACAAAAAATTATTGAAGCTTGAGTGGGGTATTATATTTACACTATTTACATGACTTGAGGTTACTCACACTTGGATGTCTTGTTCTGAAACGTTAGCAAACTAGTCAACACATCCATGTGGGAGTAACCTCAAGTCATGTAAATAGTGTAAATTCAGACAATTTAAAATGGTGTTATAAGAATGAATCATTTATGTTTTTAAATGAAATTGATCTGTTATCAACAATAATGCAAAATGTTAAACATACATTTAAAAATTAACTTAGATGTAAAAATGTACAGAATAACTAAATGTACCAATTCATAAGTGAAATTTTTTTATCTCGTATGACTCATTAAAAGCTGAGACACTACAAGTGCGTGATAATGTATACATTACACGAGACCTATACAAAACGGTACTAAATGTAAATGTAGTATGGGGTTATTGGAAGGCACCTATTATTTGTCATTAGTTTTAAAGCAAAAAAATGCTCTATGTTTGTATCGACTTGTATTAACATTTAAAGCAAAATTCACTAAAATCTTCCAATCACCTTATCATGCCCAGCACTTGCACTCTGGATGGAAAATAATGTGGAAAAAACAAACCATGACAAGTTTCTTGATGAAAAAAAAAAGTTTTTTTTTAATTCTAAATCTTATAAAGTAATAAACAAAAATGCTGTTGCTTGGGTAAGGTTAGGTTTGGTTGTCCGCTTCCATGTCTTCATTTTCGTCGTCCACCGACCGAATGTAAAGTATGTTATTGCACCTAAAATTCCAAAAAAAATAATAACCGGTATAATATGCGGACCTAGTAAGATTTGTAACAGCACACTTACCGAACCATGATTTCGCCGAGAAGAGCTGGTTCACAACCGTCCACAAACTCGGTGGCGCTGGCCAATTGTATGTTCATGTAGTTGTCGGTGGACACCAGGAAACCTTTATACTCGTGGCCCCATTTCAATTTGACAATAATAGTTTTCCCCATTAACCCGTTTAAGTAGGGTTTGGGGTTAATTGGCATAGTCGTCATTTTGGATAAGTTTATAAAACACTTGTTTAGTTTTTAAAACAAAACGATTGACGTTTGACGAATGTTCAATGTTGTAAAATACCAAAATGTAAACATTAAACCGACAAAATAGATAACCTAACGGAGTACAGCCGGTTATGATAAGGTAACCGCGCGTCGTGCCGAGTTTGAGAATATCACCGGTCGGCCCCGAACCACATACCTTGTACTATATAGTACCAGATAATACTGGTTAATAACACGATTATTTTCTACCTAGGTTTTGTGTGTGGGATTGGTCGGTTAAGTGTATTAGGTGTATTGTCAATGCGGCCATTATGCCGTCGGTGCAGCTGCTGTGCAACCACCAACGACCGCGTCTCTTTTATCAGAACTGCTGCTGCAGGACCCATTTTGTTTATTTACCTTATATATAATATACATGATATATAAATGTAATAACATGTATGTATGTGTGTACTATGCAAAGGATATTTTGATATTACTAGTAATTCGTATTTCGGAGATTTGATATTTCGGTGTTGTTATTATCGTTGTTATTATTATTATTATTATTATTATTACATTATTATTATATCTGTAAGTTTAGGCATTATTGTTGTTTTATTTTTTTCTTAGAAATTCGAATAGATTTGAATATATTATATTATTTATAAAGGCGTGTGTTGTGTGCGTTTTTCCGGAAAAACAACTGCAAGTCTTTATGATGTTTATTGGCGGGGGATCGTTTTGCCACTTGTAGAACGACCGAAGAAACTTAACTGACGTTCACGACTATAAGGCGGTAACATGTATATAAAACAGGTTAGTTTATTCGCTTTGACGTTTCGTTTGCATAATGATAGAGTGTATTCTTATATTAGCATAGGCGCAACTAGGAGGGGTGCTCGGGGGACTTAAGTACCCCAGACTTAAAATTAGCACCCCTCAAAAATTTAAACCCCAATTGTTCTTAATTTGTACCCATACAATTTTAATAATACTTTAAATACATTGTTCAAATGTTTTATTTTAGAATATTTTTGTTCTCAGTTATATTATTTTTTATTATATCTAATGGACTGAGGATAAGAATTATGTTTGTCGGGTACACATAATTTTAGCACCCCCTAAAAAGGTCTAGTTGCGCCTACGTATATTAGAGTTACACATTTAAATATCTCGAATAGATTATTGTCTAAATTTCAGACATATGCTACTATGCCTATCAACCTATCAGTGAAACTTTCCATCTTTTTAACAATAGGCTTTTGCCAGTAACTCCGCCTAATGCCTAGTTATTATATTATAATATCAACTGTTATAGCTGGGTAGTTGGGTAGAATTCAGAGATAATACTCAATGTTCAAGTAGCTATAAGGTTTGAGTAAAAGAAATCTGCGGATTTCTAAATGCAGATTTGCAATCAGTGTTAAAAAGCTCTGTTACTCTGCTGCCCTGAACAACATAGTAACATTGATATGTTTTGGGAGTATTTTCTTATTTGGTGAAAAAGCAGCATATCATTTTTATTTTATTTCTCAATGTTTCTTTACAACTCGTCTATGTTCACAATAAAATTTACACTTTTCCACATTTGACAATTTGAATAACACTATAAACTGTAAAAAACTATAAAATTACCTGGATACGGATCAGTTGCGTGTAAAAACCATCAGAAATGAAGATGTCGTGAAATTGATGACACAATTATGTCCCGGAAAAAAAATTAGTGCATCCAGCCCAAAAACATGTCTGTATTAAATACCATACGATGGCATAAAAATTGTTGCCCAGTAAAGAGCATTTGTTTATCTATAGTAGATTTATTGTATATATAAATTTGTAACACTTTTAATAGCTTATATAAATTGTTATTGTGTTTTATTTTTTGCATAATTATTATGGTTGTTAATATTTATAATTTACAAACAAATAAATTATAGCGACAAGTGCATTCATCTGTACTAATATACTATTGTTTCGTTTTAGGTTATTATTCATGGTTTTAAGAGCTATCGGGAGCAGACCGTTGTCGAACCATTTGACCGAAGACACAATGTAGTCGGTACGTATTTGTTTGATTTACTCTTTATACAAACTTAACCACATAGAACTTGAGCAATCTTAAATTCCAAACTTTTTTATGCTCTTTATTATAGCTTGAAATGACAAAAAAATTTCATTTTGTTTTCAATTTAAATGTTATCACTTGGCACAGCATAGCATAATTGTTTTAAAAATATAATGTTTAATTTACATTAACAATTCAAATTTGAGGCAAGCCTGAGTTTTGCCCCATTTATTGCATTTTTGGCAGTTTAAGCAATTCAACAGTGCCATACTTAGTTTACTCGCCTTCTTATTTATTATTTCTCCAAGCTTGTATATTATATTAAAATAAATACTTCACTTAGTATAAAAAAAAAAATCAATAATTTTTTTGTAATTTAATGTTTATTTTGATTTTAGTTGGTCGTAACGGATCTGGAAAGAGCAACTTTTTTTATGGTAAGTTTTATTATATTTTTTTTTTGTGTTTTTTTATAGACAATGTACAAAAAAATTGTTATATGTTGTAGTACATTTAATATACGTGTATTAATTCGTAAATGTTTAATAATAATGTATAATTAACATTGGCTAATCATATTTCAGCTATACAGTTTGTCCTAAGTGACGAGTTCTCTCATCTCCGTCCTGAACAAAGGCAAGCATTACTCCATGAAGGAACCGGTCCTCGAGTGGTCACTGCATATGTTGAAATCATATTTGACAACACTGACAACCGTTTGCCTGTAATTTTATACATGCCTTAATTAATAGTTTATATTACTCCATTTATTTGTGCATTGAATTCACAATTCAAATATAATATTAAATAACTGGGTTTTGCATGTGCTTGCAGATCGAAAAAGACGAAGTTGTACTGAGGCGTGTTATCGGTGCCAAAAAAGACCAATATTTTCTGAACAAAAAAATGGTTCCTAGGTCGGACGTCACTAATTTACTGGAATCGGCGGGATTTTCTCATTCAAATCCATACTACATTGTAAAACAAGGAAAGGTAACCAAATGCATATAACATTATGCATACTATAATAATACACTTGTATGCTAAATTAATAGTGTTGTAGTGTTGCATTTCATAATTATAATTAATCATTACAGATCAACCAAATGGCCACAGCTCCAGATTCGCAACGGTTGAAATTGTTGAGAGAAGTGGCCGGCACCCGGGTTTATGATGAACGAAAAGAAGAATCTATTGAAATTCTTAAAGGTAGGTGCTGATAAAATCAGGAGCAGTTAAAACATGTTGGTGTAAAAATATTTTAGTTTAACGTGGCCTGTAATATTTGACAGACACGCAGACTAAATTGGAAAAAATTGTCGAGTTCATCAAAACAATAGAAGAGCGATTGACGACATTGGAAGAAGAAAAGGAAGAACTCAAAGAGTACCAGAACTGGGACAAAAAAAGAAGAACGTTAGAATTTTGCATACACGATCGAGAGCTTAAAGAAACTAAAAGAAAATTAGAAGAAGTGAGTGTTTGTTAATTGTTCTTATTGTATATCAATTTGTGCACTATAATATCATAGGTATACTATTAGATAAAATACTGCTAACTTTTGTGTTCCACCCATACACATTCCTTTGTCAACTATTCTTATCTATATGGTATTGAATGTATGTTTTGGGTTTCGTTTTTTTTAGATGGACGGTAAATTAAATAATTTTGACGAAGAGCAAAAACGTCTCAATACAAAAGTAAAAGAAGCGTCTGATCAAGCAAAAAAAGCAGCAAAACTATTGCGTGATGCTAAGCGTGAAGTGCATGCTGCCAAAGAAGAAAAAGAAACCCTCAGCTTAGAACAACAAGAGTTGATCAAACAAAAAACTAAATTAGATTTTACCATAAAAGATTTGACCGACGAGGTGGATGGCGACAATAACTCCAAGGTTGGTGCTTAATTGTCTTAGTAGTAAATTTCTAGTCCTAATACTCTACTCTTAATAATGTCTGTATTCGACAAAATTTCACTAAAACCTCACTGGGAAGTTAGTGTTTTTATCTATTTGTGAGGATGAGGAATCCGAATATTTTGTACCTAAAACATTTGTTATTAAAATTTTTGCGTAAACTTTGAATAATAATTGAATTTCATTCAATAACAGATATATTACCGAAAGTATTCTTTAGACGAAATTTATTTCACATCAAAATGAAAAAAAAAATGAAGTGATAACACTGTGCTTCCTGAGCCCCTCAAACTCGAGATTCTTGAGATTTTAGTTGTCATTATTATTTTTATTATCATTATTGATATTTGTATAACTATCATTTTATTGACAAAGATGATTATCATTGTTATTATTCATTTTTATTTTTATTAAATATAAGTAAAAAAGTTACAAGAATATTATTTTATTTCTCTACACTCGTGTTGATTTCTTTATGTATCATCGTTATAATAATTCACTGATAACTGATGTAATTGTTTATTCGATTACAGTAAATGTTGTTAATAACAAATGTTTTACACGAGCTAAGGTAAAAGGTTTCAAGTTTGGACTCCTCACCTCACCCTCAGAAACATATAAAAACAACTTGACTACTGCCCCAATGGTCCAATGTTATTTCAAGTATTTTTGAGTTTTTCCAATACTTATAAGCATTTTATGTAACAAAATAAGTAAAGCAATTAATATTATTAGGAAAGAGCGGAAAGAGAACTAAAAAAACTTCAGGATACAATCAAAACGAAAGAGGGAGAACTCCAAGAATTAAGGCCAAAATATGAAGCACAAAAAAAGAAAGAAGAAGACTGCACCAGAGAGTATGACATACACCTTTTTATATAAATAATTAAAGTTATAATAATTTATTATACACATCTGGTTTAGGGTATGACGTTTTTCAAAAATCAATAAATCACTTGGGTTTTGTTGTAATTTAATTTTTCCTACAATCAATTATATAAGTTAATTTGGTTATTACATAAAAAAAAACATAAAGAAATTTTCCAAAAGTATCGTCATCCAAGTGCTTCTTTTGCAAGCACTCCCATTTTCCAGAGGGTATGATTTCGCTGTAATCGCCAGATTTGTTGCCTTGCGATTACTTCTTTGGGGTACCTCAATAAGAAAGTTTTTATTTTTGATTGTTAGGTCAAATTTATTTATGTAATAATTAAATGGTATTGTGCAATTGGTATTTGGAAAAAATTAAAATTAAATGTTGTTTAAATTGTTTTATGTATTTTTGAAAAACATCATTCTACTCTGTCACGCTTTATATTGTTACTATGTATGTGTTGTAGTAACTGTAACATATTGATTGTTGTTGTATAGGTTGGCTTTGAAGGAGCAAAAAAGAAAAGAACTGTACGCCAAACAAGGCAGAGGAAGTCAATTTACATCTAAAGAAGACCGTGACAAATGGATTCAAAAAGAGCTAAAGTAATAAAAGTTACAAAAAAGAATCTGTTTTATTGTCTGTAATAATACTTATAATAACAAATTTTATGATGTGTTGTATCCAGATCTTTGACCAAACAAATTAAGGACAAAACCGACCACAGGGATAAACTGACGGAAGATTTAAAACGTGACGGGGAGCGCCAACACGAACTTGAACAACAAATTCAGGTATTATAGTACTGATTAATAAATATTAATCTATTTAAATAAAAATATATATTATAATATCTTCCTTCTTAATAATTTGTGATGTGTGTTTGTCTATATGTGTGTGTGTGTGTTTTTCTTCTCCGTGTATACTACTGGACTGATTTGTTTCGTTCAATTCCTCGCATCACGGTGCTTAGAATAGGCTACCTTGATTTCTCCGTACTTTTCGTCTATCCTGTCTAGAAGTAGCGACTAGGTAGATCGGTAGTTAGCATTTAAGTTGTTGATAGGTGACACATGACTGTTGAAACCAGTGATTCTCTCTTCTCTCTCTATGTTGCTAGCTTAGGATTTTGCTATAGTTATACAATATATATTTTTAGGTAAATTTTAATAGTTAGTATTAAATCTAGTCTAAAAAATAGCAATTACTTATATTAGTGCAACACTTGTGTTTTTGAGACACGAGTTTTTGTATTAAAACGCAAATCGATATTAAGTTTATTAACATTTTTAGATGAACTCCATAGAGTTGGAAAAGCAACGAGTCGCCATTGACGAGTATAACAAGCGCTACTATGAATTGAAAAAAAATAAAGATCAACATCAAAGTCAGCGAAAGTAAGTTTCACTCGTTAAGCCTAATAATGTACATAATACGTATACATAAATATTGTGTAATACTAATAATTGTCAAGGCTAGGAACTAAGTAGAACTCATTATAAATTATTAGTTAATTGTTTGTTACAAGTATATTATAATATTATATATGAGAAGAGCATGCGCAAATACCAAAACATGTTAATAAGAGTAATGTGGTTTGGTTTTTGTGCAGGCCCGCTCTGTTGCTGAATAGAGTATAATTGAAATAATTGGCTAACTTGCCTGGAGACTTGTCATGATTATTTTATAATGTACATTAGGTGCGCACAACTATTGTACCAATGTACATTGTATATTCACATAAATAATGTTACACGGTATTGACGTTTATACTGTAAATATAACATAATATATTATACGATTGTTTGAATTTGTCCAATAGTGAGTTGTGGCGTAAAGAGAACACATTACAGCATAGTTTGTCGTCACTCAAAGAAGAAATGGCAAAGTCAGATCAAGCTCTTCGCAGTATGGCGGGCAAAGTAAGTACAGTTTTGATATTTATAAGTATAATACCTGATTGTTGTTGTGCTCTAGGCTATTTTGAACGGAAGGGACAGTGTAAGAAAAGTGCTGGAGGTGTTCAAAGAAAGGGGCGGATCCCATCTGCATCTCGCTTCTCAATATTATGGTCAGGTGATTGAGAAATTTGAGTGCGACCAGAGTATTCAAACGGCAGTTGAAGTAACAGCTGGTGGCAGGTACTTACCAAATAATTGTCTCATTTAAACACTAACCCAACAGGAACTGAAACTGTATATTTTCACGCTATTTAACAACTGAAACATACTAGTTATTAAACTCTTACTAATAATTAGAGGTCTAAATAATATTCTTTTGCATATTTTTTTTGATTCTACGCAGTCAGTCGGGGATTTGAAATTATATGAACTTTGAAATGTATAAATGGCAAATTTTTTTTTTTGCATATTTGAGAATATTTCAAGATGAAGGAATATTTTGTATAATATATTAGAGAGTTTTAGAGAATATATCTGTTATCATTGACGAAAATATGAGCGAAATAACAATAACAACACGTGATAGGTTGAGTAGGCTAGAAATTGAGAAAACACTTAAAAAATAACTCCAATAATTTGTTTGTAACATTCTTACTATATATTTGTTTTGGAAAATTTTCAACTTTTTGGCAAATAAAAGAAAAAAATTAATTTAGTAAATTATTAAATTGTATCATATTGAGTGACCTTTTTACATCAGTTGTAATATTTCTGAGGCATCTATACATTTTATTTTGCAAATAATAGCATATTTTTAACAGAAAATATATTAATGTAAAAGCATAATTTTTGCATATTTTACTAAGATTTTTAAAGAATATTTTCAACTTTTTAAGAGAATATTATTTCGACCTCTACTAATAATAATATTTTTTATACATTGTAGAATGTTTTTCCATATTGTGGAATCTGACAAAATCGGCACGCAGATACTCAAAGAAATCAACAATCAAAATTTACCAGGTGAAGTGACTTTCATGCCACTAAACAGATTGACCATACGCGATATAAGATATCCACAATCACGGGTAAATAATAATAAATTTCCAAATAATATCAAATTGTTCTCTTTGTTTTGGTTACAATATTATAGTATGCCAAGGCTTAAGCTATGAAATTAACTTAATAAATAGTATCACCATAGGCTAATAATATATAACCATAGACATGTGCATTTAAAATACAGTTAAAATTCTGTTCTGACAATAGTTGTGTACGTGTGATTTTTAGGATGCTATTCCGATGGTGAGCAAATTGAAGTATGAACCTCATTTGGATAAGGCCATGCGTTTCATTTTTGGTAAGACTTTAATTTGTCGTAACCTCGAGATTGCCACGACGATATCCAAACAGAGTATGCTCGATTGTATTACAATCGACGGTGATCAGGTATGATATATTTTTTGTTTTACGATTATTGATCGAACCAGAGAGTTTCTATGTAGACTCTCTAACAGAAACTTTAGTTGTACAGCTGTACTTGAGAGCGGATTCAACTTAAAATATTGTGGTTTGTTGCTAAATTGTTGTTATTTAGGTCTCTTCGAGCGGAACAATGACTGGTGGTTACTTTAAAAACGTCCGGTCCAAGCTGGAAATGCAAAAGCAACGGAATGACTTGATGAACCAAATCAAAGAGGCTGAAGACGAACAGGCAGTGTTGAAAACTCAGTTGAATGAAGTCGAGGCCAACGTCAACGTAGTCATGTCAGACATGCAAAAGACTGAAACAAAAAACAGTAAATCTAAGTACGAACATTGTATTTCAGTTTGATTTGTTTTGTACAAGTTGATATATTATATACAAGGCTGAGCAAAAGCACTTATTTAATACGTTCACTGCAGATGACGCTAATTTAAATTTAAATTAGATAGGAAAATTGGTATCATCCGCAGTGAATGGGTATGTAACTTTATAATAAAATAAAAAACTTTTACATTTGAAGTTAATTTTTTTTAAATAATAAAAGTAATGTAGTAATAAAACTTATTGATAAAAGAAACACGCTATAATAATGCCCAGACCTGTGATTGTATAATTTTATTAAAATAATGAAAAATAAATTCCTGGTTCAACAAAAAGGGATGCTTATCATATTTATTATGGTGTTACAGGGGTAACTTTGACAAATTAAAAGGAGACATAAGACTCATGAAAGAAGAACTAGTTGGAATCGAAAGATACCGTGCGACTAAAGAGAGACTGCTAGTGCAAGCATCATCTAATTTGGAAGCAATGCAGACCACACGAAGCGGATTGGAGTCTGAACTACATCAAGTAAACGATACAATTTCTATAATATACTAATATTATTATATGTCAATATGTGTTAGATGATTAACTGTATGCATTTTTCTTTTTGCTCTTATAGGAACTCATGGCTCAGCTTTCTGTTAGCGACCAACGAGAAATGGATAAGTTAAATGATGACATCCGATCACTGACCCAAGAGAACAAAACAGCTTTTGCTACCCGTATGAAGTTTGAAGCCGATAAAAATAAGTTGGAGAATTTGTTGACAAACAATTTGATTCGACGACGAGACGAACTTATGCAGGTCTGTTGTTATTACTGCTTGGTGACAATTAATTACTTTGTGTGTCCTGTCACTTACTAGTCTTATTGGTAATGCAAACACATTGTCACGACAAATACAAAATCATTAACAAGCAAATCTAACTTACTTCATATAACCACCAGGAATGTAGTGGTAACTAAGTTTAGGGCAGGAAAATAACATCACAAAAAAAATGTTTTATTTTGATTGAATTTATAGAATTTTTCACACTTAATCAGAATTTGGTGTTAGATTTTGTCAACGTTTCTTTTATATCTAAATATTTTATTTTCAGTTAATTTTATGTACTAAAAAAAGTTAATATTTTTTTTCAAATAAATTATCAAAAATAAATGTAAAAGAAAATAATGGTTTCAATTATAAGAAATTGTCAACAATATTTCATACCATACAAATTACATAGATATTAGTTGATAACAGGGTTGGTTAGTTATCATTAACATTCTCTTTTCCAGACTGGCCTCTGCTATTCTAGTCTGTACTCTACTACTAATCACAACACTGAGTTCAACTCGTATCTCATTTTGTTTTTATATGTAGTCCTTGGCTCCCTGACAAAGGTAGAGAGGTAATGTTTAAATTACGGTTTTGTACCATATGAGTTGAGTTTTACTAGGTTAAAATGTTTGTAATAAAATTCGAGTGTTCAGTGGTCAAAACGTTTAAAATGAAAACAATTTCTTTTTTCCGAAAGTATTGCAAATGGTTAGGTTAGGTTCACAAAATGTTGTTATTTTCCATTTATTTCATGTAACATAAATCATAATATTTTAATTAGCTTTCTAAATTATATTATGTTGAAATTATTATCAGGCGCTTCAAGAAATATCTGTTGAAGAGCGAAAGAGGACGTTAGAAAACAGTCGGTTAGAACTGCAAGCGGTAAAGAAGAAACTGGAATTGTTAAACGCTGACATCAAAGTCGACGACAAAAGAGTTCAAGAAGCAGTCAGAAAAGTAAATTTTTGTTGTTGTGTATCTAAGCTGCTGTATAAGAGTTTTATATATAAACTTGCTTATGTTCTTTTAGCAAAATATTTGTCAAGAGGAACTGGAGAAATGGAAGTCGATCGAGAAGGAGGCGCAGGAGAAACTCGATAATGAATCCAAAGATTTGACTAAAGTGTCAACTAAACAGAACATGTTGCGACAAAAGTTGGATGAATGCCAAGCCAAAATCAGTGATCTCGGAGCTCTTCCCAACACTGAGCTCATGACTAAATACCTGTCGTATTCGTCTAAAAATGTAATTATTACCTAGTAATTAGTACCTAGTAAAATATTGATCGCCGTTTTTATTGTTGTTGTTATTAGAGGTAGTACGTGTACTACCTCAGTATTACCTTAGAACTCGACATTGTTTCTCTGACCTAGGTTGATTTTCTGTTTGTAGTTGTTTAAAGAACTGGAAAAAGTTAACAGCAACATTAAACGGTTCGGTCACGTCAACAAGAAAGCGTTAGACCAGTTTGTGAGTTTTTCAGAGCAAAAAGAAAAGTTGGTCTCCAGAAAACACGAACTCGACAGAGGGTATAATAATTTGTTTCAATTATAATAAATAATAATCTATAATCTATACAGGGTAAAAATGAGCCTTTAAAAAATAAACTGAGATGCTACTATTTTAAGTCATGATCAAATATACTATTATGATGTAAAAGAAAATGTAAGAAAAAAAAATTTATTCTAGAACAAAATAGAATTATTTAAAGTTTTTGAATTTAATCGCTTTTCTCATTCAGATTTTAACAGTGGTTAAAACATTTTACACAGTTTTAAAACTTATTCAAAAAATAACATTTTAAAAAATATCTAATAATTTTAATGTTCAATTTTCATATTTTAATTTCTTAAATAATAGTATACTAATAGTAATGATTTAATAGTAAATTTAATAGTTAATAGTAATATACATAGATAACAAAGTAACTTTTATTAAAAACTGGTAACAATACCTTTTTTAATAAAATTATTTTATATGGATATGTTTTTAGCCTGGAGATTAATCTAAAATTTGGATAGACATTTTCAAGTAACAAATTATGTTATAGGAATATAACTTAAATATTATTATTAATTTAATAATATTTTCAATATATTTGCTCCATTTTTTTTTATTAATTTATTCAGTCATTTTTATTTCATTAAGTCGTGTGTTTTATTGTATATTTATTTTTCGCTATAGAGAAAAATTTTCAACTATAACTAAATGTTAACAGTTTAATAATATTATAATATATTGTTTTGTCTTCTAATGCATCATATTATATCATTATAATCATGCTACAACCTTTAATTGTGGTGAACATGCGAACCCAATGCTAAAAACATATCCATAATTCAATGAATTTTAAAGGAACTTAGAAAATAGTTTTTTTTTAAAAGTTCATATAATAAAGTTATGAAATAAAAGTTTAGGAATAATAAAACGTTTCTACAGTTTCTCCCAAACTATGTTTTTTAAATGTATTAAACACAAAAAATAATGTGATTATGATTATTTATTTGATTATGTCGAGCAATTGATCTTAATGTATTGTTTCTGTTACTAGACACCAAAAAATCGAAGAACTCATGAACGTGTTGGAACAAAGGAAATGCGACGCCATTTTGTTCACGTTCAAACAAGTGTCCATGTATTTCACCCAAGTGTTCAGCAAACTGGTGCCTGGCGGGTACGCACAGTTAGTCATGAAATCAGCCGGAGGAGAAGAATCTGCTACACCGTGTGTTGGCGAAGTATGCAAAATAATTAGTGAAATATCCATAAAATCTAAATTATTTAATTAAGGATCTAATAATATTATGATATATGATAATATTAATTGTCGTTAACATCAAAACTGCTGTTAGTTTACTTGTGGCTGTAAAAAAAAAACATAACTGCTACCTTCTTGGTGGGTTATAGTTGTTTTTATAATAGTTATATAAATATCAATTAAACATTTTATCTTAAACTGCTTTAAGTAGGAATTAGTAATATTGATTTTTATAAAACTCAAGGATTTGCAAAAAAAAAACTGTTGTTTTTTAACCAGTAACGTTTTAGTTTTTGGCTAAACCCTTTACACAAATCCACTTATTTTTACTTAGAACTGAACATTTCATTATAAAAAAATAACGCAGACCCAAAATTATCTTACAAAGTTATTTATTTTTATTGTACCGCTGAAATTGTTTTTATAATTTACCAAAAAAAATATGATTTTGTTGAACTTATGCGTTCCCCTAAAAAAATAACCTCTCAATAGATCCAACAAAAACGTCTATATTATTGCTCCTAAAGTAAAAACGGTTATGCAATATGCACACCGTGTTGGCACGGATTGTATAACCGTTTTTACTTCAGGAGCAATAATGTGCTCATAACATTATCGCAGATCTGTACCTAAACATATTTTGTAATTATTTTTTGTTATAGCACCATAATATTGTTATTAACAATATATTCCAATTAAGTTCTAGAAAATAATAAATATTTGTTTTGGTAAAATTATATGTGGTGCGCTTGCAACTGCGCACCTAGGCACGAGCCGCCACTAATTTATAGACTTATAAAAACCTATAGAACTTCAACAATTTTAAATGCCGCATTATCTTGACTTTGTAAAACGTTTAAAGTTTCTTTATCACAATGATCAAGTGTTATATTGTTTTATATTTACCTATTGATTTTTTACTGTGCACTATAGGAGGACAATATCGACAACTACTCCGGCGTGATGATCAAAGTTTCATTTGCCGGACAAGGAGCCGAAATGCGAGAGATGAACCAACTGTCCGGAGGTCAAAAATCGTTAGTCGCGTTGGGACTGATATTCGCCATACAAAAATGTGATCCGGCTCCTTTCTATCTGTTCGACGAAATCGATCAAGTAAGACAACAGTGTTTTGCAAGGCGTGCCTAATATATCTGCCCTACACCTAGTATAAAATATTATAATTATGTTGAATAACTATGAATGAGAAACGCTGACTGTGCTTATTATTATATATTAACAGATTATCTATTATTTGTACAATTATCTATCATGTTATAAATAATTGTACTAATAAAAAAATGTTTAATTCGTCAAAAATATTTTTTACCAAAAAGTTATTATTTGATTTAAATTTTGCTTTACACTGCCTTTATATTTAATAATAATATACTTATCCGATTATCTACGCGCCTTATCAATATTTTGTAATGTAGATTATTGTTGGTTCTTATAAGATTTATCAAATTGTTTCTTATTTTTCAGGCGTTAGATCCACAGCACAGGAAAGCCGTTGCCGACATGATACACGAAATGTCAGATCATGCTCAGTTCATCACGACCACGTTCAGGCCTGAATTGCTGTTTCATGCGCACAAATTCTATGGTGTCAAATTCCGAAATAAGGTGACAAATAGTTGTTATTAGAGGCTCAATAGTTATTACTACCCAATCCTATGTTATGCGAGGGTGCTAAATAGTAGACGGCACGTGCTTGAGTCGCTTACTTAAACCGTTAGAAAATTCTCAATGAAATAAAAAATGAAGTATTGGCTTTTCAACTGAAGCTAACAAATTGACAATGTACATTGAACAATATTTTAAGAAAGTCTCTAAATAAATAACCTACACAAACAGTGGCTGCACGAATAGCTGTTACCACCGTTGTAACAACACAATTCGAACAATGTAGAACTTCTTAAAACCCTAACAACTAATATGTTTACTAACTCGAATTGTTATTATTTTTAAAAATTTTTAACATATTATAAATTCAAATTTTTTTGTAAGCACCAAAACTCGAATAATTTTTTGTTATTTATACTTTGAAGTGTTTAAATTTTGAAGATTAAGATACGTTTTTAGAAATGTAATGGTAGTAATTATTGTAATGTACATGTTATCGATATGACTCAGCGGTTAATTTTAAGATTTTTTTTATTAATGACTTAGATGATTGTATTTGATACTATTTTTCTTTTTATACATTTCAATATTTTATGCTTACACACACGTACTTTCCACTAACTCTATTGACACTTGTCCATAGTATTTGCGTAATATCTTGCATTTGTATGTTCTTACAATAAATACAAATTGGATGAAGATTGGAGCGGTCATGCTTCAACTCGGAGCCTCAATGAATAATTGCCTATGTCTAGGTGTATATGGCAGAGTTCAATACAGTTAGGAGGTTATGTTTAACACAGTTTCATATTAAGTAGTAAATAATTATAAACCCTCCATTATAAGTTAGTGATTAACTAACTGTTCTGCTATAAACGACAAAAAAAATAAGTGTAGCATAACAAAAATTAAAACGAAGTAATAATAATATGTAATAATAAATAAATTTATCTATGAATAATTGATTGAAGAATGATTGAAAAATAATTGATACATATTAATATGTATTTGTATGTAATTTATTTTAATAATAATAGTCTAATAAATGATTGTTTGTTTGTTGGCCGTTTTTAGGTCAGTCATGTGGAATGTGTCACCAGAGACGTGGCCTACGATTTTGTTGAAGACGATACGACTCATGGTTAAATGGCGCACAAAAACAGTTTTAAATAAAATACGTTGAACGGAGTTTTCTATTTAAAACTTAATTTTTTTTTATATTGTTTTTACAATTAAACTTAGACTGCAAACACAGAAAAGGCAAAATATAACTATAATTATTATTTTTTAGACAATGGTAGAATAATACAATTTTTATTTTATACTATTACCATTATACAATGATGACCATAATGTTGTCCTATAGGTTTTTAATTAGTTATTAGATGTTAATTCTTTTAAATATGATAATTATGTTTAATAATAATAATAATATCCATGTCTGTACGATACCATATTATAATTTTGTTCCGCGGACTCCCTAGGCCAATCTCAAATATATTGTAAACTCTTCTATACCACGCATTGTACGAAGATACATAGATTTTTAAAATTATTTTTTCTAGTTTATGTAATATGTAAAACCATAATTTATTATACATTTTTATCTTTCCTAATAAAATCTTTTCATGTATTCCTACACACGATATAGTATGATACCTATTTGTTTAACAGTTTGATTTATATTTACACTGTTCTCCTGTTATCGAGTCACAAAATGTATGTTAAATACTATGAAATTGTAGTTTTTAAAAAACAATTATAATGCGATACCTATTTACAAATTGTGTTATACAGCATTCCGTAATAATACAATTATACTCATAGATTTTACTTGTACAACACAATTTATAATAAATACAATATTCTACCCATTTTTATATACTTCTATAGCCAAAACGTACATGCTATGTGGTACATACAGATAATATGTTATCTTATACTATGTTTATTAATGTGTAATTCTATATTATGTATGTTAGCTTATATTACAATTTATATATTTGTCATTTATGCATAATTACACATGTTTTAAAATAAGACAGTAAAAGTATCGTTACGTGACCTCATAAAAATTAGTATTAAATCATTAAAAAAAAAAAATTAGTCAAGATAGTTCTTCTCTTATATACTTTAAGGTTTTTATAATTATTTATTTAAATACATGTCTAAGAGTTATTCGTAACTTTAACTTTCGTTTTTTTTATAAAATCATATGATGCAAGGGAAGTTTAAGAAGAAGAAAAACAAATATATATATATAAATGAAAAAATTGTCTTGTCAGAAATCATAATAATGAAAAAAGAGAGCTTAGCATTTAACTTATGTATCATCCCTGTGTTGTCGTTTCAACTATTAAAATGCCTATAACCTGCATATTATACAATTGTGTACATTGTTAGGTACTTTAAGGTCTTCTTCTTCTGGACTTTTACTTTAAGTTCTATATCATCAAGTAAAAACCAGTTGGCCAAAAATTACTTATAAGTATCTAATAGCGCCTATATTTCGTGGATTTTAGTATAAAGGAAGATTTATAGAAAAACTTGTCACTGTTTACCAGAGTTGAAAGATATAAAACCCATAGACGATTTATTGTCTACACCTTTAAATCTTGATCTAAACTTCTAAAATTCAATAGAAATTGTTCCTGTAGTTATAAGTCAAATAGCATTTCAAAACTTCCAGTGCGCGCTTTTCATCATTAGCGACCATCTTATACACATACATACATTTTTACTTTTATAAGTTTAAAATTTGTGTTTTATTAAACCAAAAACTGAATCAAAAAATACCTATTCATTAACTTTTTGAGTTATCACATGGACATATTTTTTTTAGAGATATCTACACTAGTTGTTGTTTAATGTATGTGAAACTCATTAATAATTCAATTTAAATATACTGTTATAGTAATAGTACTGGTTACAACTTTCGATTCATTGAGCTCAAAATTATCTATTTAAGTGGTCTAACTAGATGTATTGTTTTGAGTTGCGTCATAGTACTGCAGGTGAAAGGAATTGATATACGGAGGATGCACGTAAAATACAAAATTAATAAATAAACAACTTGTTTAAATTATGGTAAAAAGTTGATAATATAATATTATATTTTCTACAAATGACTAGCGTGTTGACACTTAAAACTTATAGGCGAATTGGTGTACCTAATATCGAAATGATACCTTTTTATATATATGATACATATTTTAAAATATTATATATTTTTCATTGTACAATACATAGATAGTTTAGTTAATTTTCGGGTACTCTAGTACCACTAGCAGTAGCAGCTGCAGCTATTGTGCGTCTCAACGTTCCCATGAATATGGTGGTGTTTAATGCAATTAAACTAATAGTTAAAATGTTCTCGTGTATCACAGAGTACATTTAGAAACATTAAATAGCACGTCTATCTTAAAATAAAAAATAATAGTATAAAATCGCTCGCCAATGAGACAACTTGTGTCCTTAGCCTTAAAAATAGCAACGATTGAGTGTGCACTTGCTTACAAAGCAATAGCTACAAATATAAAAAAAATAAGTTAACAAAAAAAAACAATTGTTCTGAACACAGTACAACATGTATTGCACCCTTGACACTATCATATGTAGAAAAGTCTAACTTTTGACGACGATATCAGAAGTTCATCGTCGTAGAAATTCGTCTCTATTACAATGTTGCCGCTGAAATCAAACAACAAATACACATTTCAATAAAAATCAATGACAACAAAATGAAATTTAACATATTAATAGGTTAAGCGGGAATCGTGTTGTGGGAAGGCAATGATGATTTGTAAGATGATTACTACAATTTTTGTTTTTTCCCTTAGCACCAGACTTTGCTTTATATTTGACATATATGAATGTATATGGCATGGTCTAAGTTATTTTTTTTGTCTTGGCGCTTTACCTGTTAAATATATTGTATAAATAATATACATTAACAATATACAATAAAAATAATAATTGGTTTAACCCCAATAGCCTATTTTGCAGGGGAAAATAAAATTGAATTTTTAAAAATTCAATATTTTCACCATTTATTGAATATGTTGGTCCAGAACTATTGTATTGTAATTTGGGCATAAAGTTCATAATAATATCTGCTTCAGGATGTCTTTTAAATATAAAATTAAAACTACATGAATATAACCTTCCCGCTCATGCCTTCCATCTCTCCCTAAACTCAACTCCCTTTTGTACCCTCCACCTTAATAAAGCTCTTTGTAATTTTAACCATATTCTCCTTGACTGCCCTACTCTGTACCCAAACAGAAAAAATTTTCTTTCCCATCTCAGTTTGTTTGGATATACCTCCCTTGATCCCTCTCTTCTTTTAAACTCCCGGTGTCCCTCCGTTATTGTCCTCCTAATTTCCTTTCTAAGCTGGATTTTTTATTTAATTTTTTTTTCCGCATGTTTATTGTTTTTATAGTTGTTAAAATATTTTTATCTTATATTTATTAGTTAGTAATTGTTGTGCTGTACTATTGTTAAAATAAAAGCCCATTGAAAAAAAAAAGTACATGAAAGACTCATGATAAATATAACATTTTTACTTATAATGAGTTTTCCATGTAGTTTTAATGTAACTAAATTAAATTATAAATAAATATATTTACTTTAACACATTGGCAGGCATCATTTGAGATTCTGGAGCAGCTTCGATTAGTGACTGCCACGTATTAGTAGAATTTGGTATAACAAAACCAAATTCAAAGTACCATTCTTCTAAACAACGACCCTACAAACAATTAATATGACAAAAAAATAGTGAATAAAAACCTGACCTAACTTAACTACATCAATAGCAGGCGTGACAATATGGTAAAATCAATTTGTTATGTGTGTGTGAGTGGTAGGAATCACGTACATAATTATATATATATATATAATAAAAATAATAGGTAACAATAACAAATTTAATCTTAATAACTTTGGCCGAACATATCTACTGAGAAGTGTTGTACATACCTTGAAAAGTACTTTTTGTTGCAACCTAAGCTTTTCCATTGGTTCGACCGACGAAAAGTTTATCTCTCGAGACACGGCTCTGCATTTCAATATTTTCTTCGGTACTCTGGCTTCGTGTTCTTTGTTCGGCAACGACCTAACAAATACAAAAACGTCAGTGCAACAGCCGAGTAATATGGTCAGTGTATGTATTATTTATATATAGGCATATACATTCATATAAGTCAAATATATAGCAAAGTCTGGTGCAAGTGAAAAAAACAAAAAATGTAGTAATCATCTTACAGATCGTCATTGCCTTCCCACAACACGATTCCCGTATCGGCATCTCGTAAATTCATCCAGTTCCTAAAAAAATGAACAGATTTAATTACTATGTAATTTATACGACAATATTGATATAGAATATCAATTTATTGTAAAATAATAAAAAGTTCTTACACTTGAAATCCACTTAGGATATCTTCCGGCCTTGGTCCCATTCTGACAGCTCCCGAGTTGTAATTAATCGATAATTCACTATTCAGTAATTAATTAATAATTTACAAAAACTGGCTAATCGCGATGATAAAAGTTTTTTTTAAAATTAATGTATGTTTTTTTTTTATCACGAGTGAAACCCTCGTTTTTACAGCGCAGCCACATTAGATAAAACTAATTTTTATACGGTAATCGGTAAAATTGATATAATGTATAATTTGTTAATGTATATCTATAATAACTATAGACCTATAAAGAAATTTAGGTTTCTTTATAGGTCTATGATATTAGCTTTTAGGTAATTGTTTAATGTTACTTATCACCAATATGTAAAACTACGGGAGCAGGTTGACTAAATATCATTTGCTTACAATTTTTTTTTTTATGTTTGTGGTCAAGCTGCATAAGTAGTCACATGCCGAGTCAGTTTGAAATAGGTATATTCTAGCGGCTGGTGATAACCGCTAAATGGCCACCGCCGTCGTCGGCGGCCTTGTATTTCTTGCGGGAGAACGCCAGCGGCCATATTGTGATAACCGATAAGCAACACATTTCTGCTGCATTGAACGTACCTATGTATTTTGTAGTGATTATATTGTGTGTAAATCAGTGTAATACAGCTGCAACTGCTGCTGCTATAATAATGACGTATAAATTATAATATTAAATGTTTGGTATGATAATAGCTGCAGCAGCGCTGCTGTCCTCTGATATTATGGCGACGACGACGACGACGACAGCGAGTCTTCGACGGTTTGGGAACCTATGACCGAGAGCCGACACGGTACGATTGCGCACATACCGTATACAAACAGCGTGAATGTGATATAATAGTTATAATACAGAATACGATAAATTCTATACATGGTACATACACACACACGCACATACCATTCTGTACGTATGTTATGATAATGTGTATTTTTCCATTGTTTACTTTATCGAATAGTCGTTTTTTCGGTGTAACCCACCAATATTGCATTACAACCGACGGGACACAAAAGAGGACTGCCCTTTGAGGAAAAGGTTTTGCTGCTGTTATAAAAACAACGTCCGTCCTCCAATGACAATGCAGCCGTATGATGATAACCGCATAATCGACTAACTTTCAAAAGATATTGGATACCTACCACGGCATTTGATCGACACGATTGACAAATGAGTGTATGGTAAGTACCTATATTAATATTACACTTTAACAAACATCTGTTTTCGGAACTATATTAAACGTACAAAGCAATTACAACACTTCAAATTTAAAGGAACAAATTTACTTTACTGGATATCCTTTATTTTTGCAATTTTTTTTTCTATCTTGTGTATTTTACGGTGATTACGTATCTAAAAATCGGCAAACTAGTCTAGTTCAAAAGTTGCAGCTAATCGAACTTGGACAATTTTTGTTGCGGGAGAAGTTCATGGTCTCTGCGCTGCATTGCTCTTAGCTCTCTTCCCTTTATACACTGCTCTCAACCCTCTGCAGTGCGCCGGCTTCAGCGCCATCCAGTTGCGACGCTCAGCCACGATAGCACAATTTATGATAATATTATCCTAAATTGTACGAAATAGGACTCACCTTACCTAAAGGAAATAAAAAAAGTTAATCTGATACTTCTCTGCAACAATAATTGGCACCGCCAGTTGCTTGTTGTTATTCACGCAAAAATATGCAAATTTCAAGCAGCTGTAATCATTGAACTAGAGAAGACTGCTGATTTCTGACTTTAGATTCGTAATCAGCATAATAAAACACTTCTCGATAGCAAAATAAAAGGGTGTTTTGTATAGTAAATTTATACCAAGTAAAAATTATTTAAAAAGAATTACCATTCTAAGGTGTATTTATACATCTTTCAAGTGATAAAAGGAATTACTATGTAATTGTTTTTATGTTAGGTCACATGAACGAACATTCATTGAAGATTTAATATATCAATATACATCAGGGGTTAAATTTAATTGACTATTAAATTTTAACAAGCTGTTTTAATTATTTAGTTTTTTTTTTTTGTGCCTATAAAATAGTTAAGAAATATCTCAAAAACATTTAAATCACTGCACATACTAAGATAGTACACAGTGCCGTAGCTACCGTCGGTGTAAAGGGTGCAGCTGCCCTTGAGCGCTTTCTAATTAAAGGCGTTTTTGTACGGTTTACTTTCCTTGTTAACATTTATTATATGGTGCAAAAAAATGTCTTGCTCCTTGGCGCTTTAGTGTTATGCCACTGATAGTTCACTAAATATAAAGATAGTTATACTTCAAGCGATTTGTCAACAAATTTTTTTAACTATGTTAAGAGTTTTAAAACTAAATAACTGTGTGTGACCTTTGGAAAATGATGACTGTAGAGTGTTGATGATTGATTTAAATGATTAAACATAATAACATATTATTTTACTTTTTTTATTAGATCTGTACTAATTTTGTATATTACATCTTATTATTTCAATTTTATTTTAACTCTGTTTCGTATTTTCATAATAATAATTGTTTATATTACTAATATTAATACACCATAATTGTTTAACAATTTACTGAATTATAAATTAAATTTTCGTTTCCTGTATTTTTTTAAAAAATGATCGCTATTTAAAGTTGGTATTTTGTTTTGTTTTTTCTTCTTATAGAAAATTACATGGATTACTTATGACATATAATGATAGAAGGTGTGTCCAGACGTACCTTAGCAGGATCGAGTGGCACTTACAATGTCCGTGCTACCGAGTTAGCTGTGGACAGAGGGCGTTTAAAATCAATTAACGCTGTAGTAGTCTTTCTAGATGACACCCAGCATTGTTTCAAGCTAGACGTGAGTACATCAACCAAAGTCTAAATATTTTTGACTAAAATATACTAGTGTTGTATACTAGCAATAAAATTTTCGAGAAATAGTTATAAACAGATCTCAAAATTGTTGTTTCAAAATTATACAATTATGTACATGTTGTAATGATAGCGCTTAAGTTAAATATATTGTGATATAAAAACTTATGTTACAATATTAAATACTAATTTTACATCTTCCCTATACTTGATGTCGCCTAATTCAATTTAATTCTAATTAAAAAATACATGTTCTGTTAGAAACGAGCCAAAGGTCAGGCGTTACTCGAAGCGGTTTTCCAACACTTGGAATTGATTGAGAAAGACTATTTCGGGTTGCAATTCACTGACAACGGTCTCGTTCCGTCAGCAGCCAATACTGATTTATTGGTATGTACATGAGTGGCTATGTTGTTGCACACTATTGATGTTTGAGATTTATTAGTAGTAGTTGCTTTGAAACGACATGTTTTTAAAATTTCCTTGATTTTTCTTTTGCAGAGATGGCTAAATCCGAAGAAGAGCGTTAAGAAGCAAATGAGAGGTAACTATCTATGTTTTGTAAAAATATTTACAAATATGTTACTTAATTACGTATACAACACACATACTTTGAGTGTAATTATAAATATGTGCCAATATAGTTGATGAGACAAAGGGTTTGATAAAAAAAAATAATAATAATAATAATGTACGGCTTTTAACTATGTATTCTGAATTTTCGGCAGTCATAGCTCTTGGGTATTGTCCAAAATATGGTTCACTCATTTTTATTTCATTATACAATGAATAATCAATAATAATATCAGTTGCACCAATTTACGGTATCATTAAAAAAAATGATCATTAGCATTTTAGTATAGTTAATGTCATATCTAAATTACAGTTTTAAATTTTGTGCAGTTTTATAAATAATAGCATATTACACACATTTGTGTTATAATAATTTTTATATTTGTCGATGCAGGAGGGCTTTTCTATTTTCGTGTCAAGTTTTACGTATCAGACCCAAGCAAACTTCAAGAAGAGTACACACGATATCATCTGTACTTGCAGCTACGTAAAGACATACTTCTGGGAAAACTTCTTGTATCGCCGAGTACCGCGTGTTTACTGGCTAGCTACACAGTACAATGTAATGTCAACCTATTAATATAATTAATTGTTAATGTTAATGTAATATTGTTTTATGGACATAAATTAGACTAAACCAGAACAGTGTTGGTACAAAAAAACATTAAAAGGATGCTATACACCCGTAATGTAATTTAGCTACGGAGGATAAGTATGTGAGGGCGGTATTTACAGTAACCGTATAAATTGTTTACATTGAATAGAGAAGAACTTTATCTATGCTATAGTCTGACAAAAAATGGCAATTAATAAAGAAACCTAATTACTCTATGAATAAGTTTACACTATAGCTCAAACTATAATTTTGCGAAAAATTGCCTTAGAAATAATGCGGTGTAGCGTCCTATTAATAATTATATACAACATGTATATGGTTTTATATAAATAACAAGTTTTTTTGTTTTTCTTTAGCCGAGCTTGGAGATTACCACCCCGAAGAACACAAACCCGGGTACATATCTGGTATGATACTCGTACCTGGTCAAACAGAACAAATGGAAAAGAAAATTTCCGATCTGCATAAATTACACAAGTAAGGCTTGTAAACTGTTATAATAATTTATTAAGTATACTTATGCCTCTGTTGCATACAAGATTAACAAATTTAACACATTTACGACCCAGGGTCAATTTTGGAACTTTACCCATGGATCAGGGAAATACTATCTATATTTATTATACATTTGTGTGAGATACATGGGGGGCATATGGTCTGTGGAGAAAACAGCCTGTGTACCTCAGTGGTGCTCATGGTGTGTTAAAATTGTATGCACCATACATTTAGAGACTTAAATGATGTATAACAAACTAAACTAAAAGTATTGATTCTCATTAGACCTATAATGATCATTCCATGTAACCTATCATTATAGAAGATATTAGGGAGTTTTTGTACAAGGCAAACTTTGTACGGTATCAGGTTGCAGTTTCTACTGAACATAATTTTACGTTATGCAAAAACTCTGTACTACCTAATAGAGCTGAGACCTCGAATCGAATTTTTCTATTATTCGAATTATTCGCATGACGAAAAAACTAAAAAGAACTTCTTAATCTAAGAGGTTTTTTAGTTGTTTTTTTACACGGAAAAAAATTATTTGGTTATAGTAAATGTTTGGAAATATTCTTGTTTGATCTACTATAATATGGCTGTGCCTACTACATCATTTTAGCTAGAAATACCAAACTAATGGTAATATTTATTTTGTCAAATTTATGTTTTTTTGTACCTAATTATATGTCTATTTCAATTGTTAAATTTTATTTGTTGTAATAAGTAATAATATTTATTTTGTCAAACGAATAATGCGTTATAATTATATTTATTTTGTTGAAAAATTATTTAAAATAGATCAAGGACACCTTAGTAGTCTATTAATTACTTTTTTTTTTCTAATCTAATTTATCCTGCAAAGAAAATTACAAAATATTCGAATATTCGAAAAATCAGATCGAATATTTGAATAACCCATCGAATATTTGAAAAAAAAAATTCGAATATTCGTTATTCGAATAACGAATATTCGTGCAAATAATATATTCGAATATTCAAATTTTTTTTATTCGAATAGTCCCACCACTACTACCTAACGTGACCCAACCTAATCTTTCTGTATCTTTTATGTGTATAATTTTATAAATTATAATATGATATTAAGTGTGCGTTTTTTAAAAAAATTTATTAGAGGTCAATCTCCGGCTGATGCTGAGTTCAATTATTTAGATCACGGCAAACGATTGGAGATGTATGGTGTTGATTTGCATAAAGCTAAAGTAAGTACATCAAACCCTTAATGTATCTAACAATTACTTAATTGATAATATTTATCAATACAGTTTTTGGTAGTTTTATTAGATTAATGGAATATTTAAACGCCTTATTTATGGCAATGTGTATTTCCTAATGATTACTAAAAAGTAAGGAACTACACAAGTGTAAGGGTTTTTAAAAAGTTCAGTTAGGTGTCGCAACCATACTACTTGTTAATAACCTAATTATAGTTAGGCTACAGTTTTAAATTTTAAGCATAGGCAAATCGTCAAGGACTCTCTTAACTGGACATTCAATTTATATGTTTTTGTTTAGGACTCGGGTGAAAAAGAATTGGATATTGGCGTTACGTGCAACGGTTTGGTAGTGTTCCAAAACAACATCCGCATAAACACATTGTCTTGGGCGAAAATCGTAAAAATTTCATTCAAGCGCCGACATTTTTTTGTTCAACTTCGCAGAGAATTGGTAATATTTCACATTTTTTCATTTTAAACTATTCTTATTTTTTTTAAACTGATATTTTTTATTTTTCGCATAGTCTGAAAATTATGACACCGTCTTGGGATTCAATATGATGACGTATCGTTCATCGAAAAACTTGTGGAAGTCCTGCGTCGAACACCATTCGTTCTTTCGTTTAAATCAACCTGTGTGTCCGCCCAATAACCGAGGTATTCGCCGATTGTTGCCAGGACCTTTGCAGTTTGGGTCGCGGTTTTCCTTTTCCGGCCGAACTGAAATACAGACAATTGAGGATAGTCGAATATCTCAACAGCGACCACATAGAACATTTCTTAGGTACATGCATTGGCAATTATATAGCCAATTATATAATATCTCTACCTAAAAAGCAGAAGGGTTGTCGTTTCTGTCGAATTAGTGGTGACTTTTTGAGTGAAACAAAAAAATATACTTTGTTTGATCCTTCTGTCTATCAAGTTCACATTAATCTATTGTTACCTGTGCCATTTGTTACACCCGAAAACCTAAGCCGTCGCTATTGTGAGTTATCTCTTGTATGTGAATTACACAAACTCCAGATAGGAGCATATAATATGATATAATATCTAATAGACTGCCTTTAAGCGTGGCGGTCTTGGTTTACAGGTGTGTTATTCTAACCCAGCCATCTGGTCCGGATATTTATTAACATGAGAAAAGTCCGGTCTGGTTTGGTCAGGTTAGTTATAAATGTAACTCAAAATATGTCCTACTCAGCGGTATGTTAAATTATTTTTTTTCTTTAGACAATTTTTTATCGCTTGGTTTAGGTACTTGACTTTTTAACAATTAGATATAATTTTTTGCCATATTTGAACTGATACCAACTATCAGCCAAAGTCTGATGACCTTTTTTGAAAGTCAATTGTTGTTAATGTTCTTCCTGTTTTTCTTGCACCAAAGCGATTAAAAATCCTTGGTTTCAGATGTTGTCTAGACGCTAGGTCAAAATCTAAATAATATCATAAACGTAATAACAATACCAAATTCTTCGTACTGCATTACAGTCCGTAAATTATAGCTGTGTAAGCTCAAATGAATAATCATGATTATATTGTTGTTTTTAGATTTAGCAGCAGATGCACGTCGAAACAATCGCCGCACGTCAACAACAATGTTGACACTAATAAAGCCGCCAAGGCAATCGTTAGGTGTTCAACATTGAGAGGATCGCACGACAACAAAGTAACATCAGTCGACAAAGATCCACCAAGACCTGCCTGGGGACCGGGGTCAGACGAGTACGTAGCCAACCGCTTGTATTTTAATCATTTAATTTAATTTTGGGTTGTCAATACCTCAAACTGAGAATATTATTGTAAAAATATATAGTTTAGCCTCAATTGTGCTAGTGTGACACAATTTTGTTGTGGTAAATTAATGACTGCACACCATCACTAACACTAGCTGGTCATTGTCGGTCCGATTAATCTTGGTTCGTGGTTGACAGCCCTACAATGGAATATTTACCAGAAAACAGATTTTAAAGTCGGAATGTTTTTGGGTCGTTTTTTAGTGAAGGAGGATTCATACCATCTGTCGCTCGGCCCAGTAGCAGTAGCAGCGGTGGTGCTAATGGCAACACTATACCCGCCAACGGCCGCTCCACAACAAACTATGTCGACGACGACATGTCCAGTAGTATTTACGATATTCCTGCTTATGACACTGAATCTTCCTTGGTAAATATCTGAACTTCTGCACCATTACTGAAACTTTACAACTATCATTGTTGATAAGTTAATCCACCCGGTGCTGGTGTTTTGTTCTCACATTATTTACCTAATTCTTATTTTTTGCGGCAGGGTGGCGACAACAATGTTGTTTGCATACACATGTGTGCCGACAATCAAGGGCGATTTGGATTCAACGTGAGAGGAGGTTCCGACTTGGGCATGCCCATTGTCGTGTCACGTGTTGTACCCAATACGTCGGCTTACCGAGCGCAACCAAAACTCTGCGAAGGCGATCAAGTAAGATGGCCACAGCGCCCTAATACCTCGTTTACATTATCGCATTTTTATTTGTATTTCCCCGTATAATGCCAATAGCTTTTGAGAGCACGCTAACTGTTGCAAATACACTATAATCATTAAGACCATTGTGGACGTTGTAAGCTCCAATTTTAGTCCTGGGACGAATGTTGATTAAATGCTTTTCATGTAAAATATGGATGATGATGATTTTCTTTCCTTATTTCACTAAAAAACTTGATGTTTTTTTGTTTTGTTTTAAAGGTATTAATGATTAACGGACAAGAGGTCAGCGACATGGTACATGACGATGTCGTAAATTTGATTCGAGCGGCTCGGGATCTGGAACATGACGGCAAATTGATATTGACTGTGCAACAAAAATGTAGGCATAATCGATCATTCTAATGCTTTTTATAGTAATATAAACCTCGCTTTAATAAAATGTAAATGTTAAGTATTGGCAAAAACTAGATTGACTATACCGACATGCAGCTTGTTAACCACGCCCCTGCGCGACTACAAGTTATCTTGTTTGGATAGAATATAGTATATTACTATAATTATTAGCCATTAGTGCCCAATTATAGTATGGTCTCTTTAGAAATGGTTTCTTTTAACATTTATATGTTTTTGCTAAGGATACACATTTTTGTTTTTTTCCAACCGATTTCGGGTAACAAAAAATTTGTGGGTGTGGCGCGATCTAGCCCATATTTTTTACCGCTAGACGGCGCCATATTAGACTGTAAAATACCATACTGTACAAAAACATATAAATGATTCAGTGTTTACTTTTCAGGGTACTTTTTGAACGTGGTACATTTTTAATAGTGTGCTTACTTATAATTATGATGGTTATTCAATTAACAATTATAAATTGGTTGTTATGTTCGAAATTTGCAGGCAGCGACGACGATTGTTTCAAAGAAAAAGAGGAAGAGCCCTTATTCCAGTATGTGCCGGATTCCCCAGGAAACGTGATGTCATCCGACCCGCTGCTACAGTCTATACTATTGTTGGGCGACGGTTTGGCCAGCGGATCGTTGTTGACACAGTTTGAACAGTTGTACCGACACAAACCTGGCGCATTAATGGACTGTGCCAGAGCAGCGCCAAATATCCACAAAAATCGTTACCGCGACATTGCACCATGTTAGTTTTATTACTGCCTACTATTAATTATTAATTGTTGTATTGTAGATAATAAGGAAAAATGAGATATAATAAATTAAAATGAGCTGGAAAAAGAAAGAAGGATAAGTAGAAGTGAGTGGATGTGACAAATAAAGGCACAGAATTGAGTGAAGTGAATATAAGTTAAATGGCGATTGATAAAGAATTGGAAAGAGAGATTTTAGCTAACCAATCATAAGTCAAGAAAATGAGACATTGATTTAATTATTGACCATTAAACCAAAACTGTCACATTACAATATTCACATTATTGTATAATATTCAAATGATGTTCATTAAAATAGTTTGCTTGTGTTAACATGATTACTCGTGTTTCAGACGATTGTACACGATATGTTCTGAAAGATCAGGAAAACGACTACATTAACGCCAACTACATAAACATGGAAATACCGGGTTCGGGAATAATCAACAGATACATAGCTACGCAAGGTGAATAGAATAGTGTATACTGTAGCTCTACATGTACATATTATTATAAAAATACTTAAGTATATGGAAATATTTGCCTCTTCTTGGTTACCTACATTAGACTACTTTATGACTTGATACAGGTCCGTTGCAGACCACCATTGGTGACTTTTGGCAGATGGTGTTAGAGTCGCGGAGTAATCTGATTGTCATGGTCACTGCACTGGTAGAAAAAGGCCGGCAAAAGTGCGCCAAGTACTGGCCGCCAATCAACGAAACGTTGGAAGTAAAACACGACTTGACAGTAAAAACTGTGTCCGAAGAAACCGAAACGTCGAACATAATCGTATATCGGCAATTGGAGCTGACTGACTTGATGGTAAGTACACACGGTGTGTTGTAGTGGGTAGTCAGGTAGTAGCTTACTTTACTTATGATCACTGCATTCTTGCAGACTAATGAAACCCGACCAGTAACCCAAATCCAATACGGGCTGTGGCCCGACCATGGCGTGCCAGACGATTCAGACCGTCTGTTAAGCCTGGTGGATGCAGTGCGCAAAGAACGCGCCGGAGTCGTTGAGCCTGTCGTCGTACACTGTTCCGCTGGTATAGGACGTACCGGTGTAATAATACTGTTGGAGACCGCCCTGTGTTTGCTGGAAGCCGGTCAACCGGTGTATCCGTTGGAAATTGTCCGACAAATGCGTGATCAACGAGCCATGATGGTGCAAACTTCAGTGAGTATAATGCGTACAGGGTTGAGGTGCCCAAATATAAAAAAAAAAAAGTATAGAGCTTAAAATAAGTAACTGATGAAATGCTCATTATTCTTTAATATATTTCATAATAGTAATATTATATAATTAAAATAATAAAATGATATTGCACACTTATTACAAATTATGTAAATGTTTATAAATAAATTAAAACATTTAAAAGAGATAATATTATCTAAAATCTAACTTTTATTTTATTGTATTTAAAGTACAAATTTAAAGTTATGTTGTGCTGTTATATTGTCAAAATAAAAGCACGTTAAAAAAAAATAGTTATGTTATTGATTTAAAATATTATATTTATAATGGTAACAACTAACATTAATATTAAATTTATCTTTTTGATAATACAATTTTCATTTCACTGAAAATGTATTAGTGCATCCCTAGAAGTACGTCCAAAGCAGAAGTATTGTTACTATTATTACAGCACTTAAATGATAAGTTATATCACTCATCGCTCTTCTCATGTTATATGTTTTATTTATTTACTTGCTTTCCAATCTTGAAATGTTTTAATATTATATTATAATTTTTATTTCTATGTTTTAGAACCAATACAAATTTGTATGTAGCTGCATACATTATGCGTTCACACAGGGTATTGTTCAGCCGTTGCCAGAGTACAGTCAACAATAATTTGGTTTTATCACAATAAAACTATTATTACTATATTTATAGTAGTATTGTTTGTGTTTGTGCTGCGAGTTTGGTAATCGAGAACGAAATCATCACCGCCTGTATTTGTTATTATTGTTTTTTACACTTGAACAAATGTATTTTTATATGTTATTATATATTTTGTATATGCCTTTACTATCAATGTTTAAAAACGTTTGACTTTACCAAACGTTCACTATCATTTACTTAATTATTATTATTAACATTACCAAACGAGATATACATTGTGCCCACCCACCCCTAACCTACTCATACGGAATTTTTTAGTTAGGTTAACAAATCTAACTTTTTCCACCCCTTTTTCTGTGTAAAAAAAAGAAATTGTACACGTACAATATATATTATTATAAACACATACATTTAAGAAATATTCATTGCATAGATAATAGTATGTAAGTATTCTGTTTTACTATTAAATATATATATAATATATATTTATATACAAATATTATATAAAGTACTAATTATAACTCTATTTATTTATTTATTATATATTTTTTTAAATGTTTTAACTTGACTAAAATACTATTTATGTTTCTTAAGAAAGTTGTGCCTGAATAGAGATAGTTTATAATGTCCGTTGTACAAAATGGTACTTGCATTACAATTATGGACCAAAATTGTATGTGTAACATGTATTGATGATCTATTTATTTTATTATATTATAAATTGAGTTATGTACTGTAACGACAATGATATTGAAATTATTTATTTGTGTAACTATTATAAATAGGTAACTTAAATGTTTTTTTTACAATAACTTGTTGATTTTATCATGTGTAAATGCTATTCGAATTACTTGACCTTCAGTGATATTTTCTCAATTATTATTTTAGACTATAGTTTATATATTGTATACTGAATCGGTACTAAATATTTTAATATAATTTATATTTTAATAAAAGCGCGAGAAAACAAAAATTATATAATAATCAAGACTGATGAGATGAATGTTTGTCACACACACACATATGTAATATTTGTATTAATTTTAAATCAAACTAATTGCACTATATTTTTAATGATTTTTTTCATTTACACAATTTAACAACCAATTTAACTTGACACTGAACGATTAAAGTTAAAATAGCCTTGGATTATTTACATAATCAGATTATCATACTATTTTGCGGACCTATTTTTTAATTGTTACTGAATACCTATTTTTTTCTTCTCAATTGTAATATTACATACTTGGGTATACAATAGTATTATTATTATAATTTAGAGTTTAGACTAATCATATTAACAAGTGATTGTAATTTATTTTGTAAAGGCTATATAGCGCTTATAGTTTTCTAATAACTTGGTAACTCTCTAACGATTTGTGTAAACATATTTAATAAACAACACATTTTTTTCTTTTGTAAATGGTTTATTTGAATTTTAATATAAAAAGTATATTATATACGGCAGTTTTGAGCAATTGTTTTGTTTCAATAATTTAAAAATAGCTGTGTGTTACACGGAGTGTGCTTCCGAAAATTGTCTGTAAACACATTCAGCTTTAAACACATTACACAACATTTTTATATTCCAAAGCTCTATCAACATTTGAAACTTGTTTTAATAATTTGTTTAATTGAGAATAATTTACTAAAAATGTTGACTGGTCATTAACCAATTTACTATTTAGAATACATATTTTTGAAGTTAAAAATTGGATGACAGGTGAAGTACGGTTGAGTAATGAAATAAAAAAAAATACTATATTTCATTTCGCTCGTCCTAAATTCTTAATTTAATTACTTAAAAAAAAATATTATCCTAATCTTGCTATCAATCAGTCAAGCTTTCGGTAAATTATTATTATATTAAAATTGTACCTGCATATACTCACTATCATTTTAGTTTTTAAATTTTATAAAACTGAAAACTACTTAAAAGGGTAAATATCTAGTTGTTTTATGATATTTTATACTTAAATAGGTATATTTTATTAACTTTTAGAAATTAAGAACAATTTTAAAATATTGACTGGTGGCTTAGTAATTTTGATTAAATATTTTTTAAAGTTTTTTAATTTAGGACAGAGGAAGGGTAATGTGTTGTACCTAAACTCGCTCCACCTCTAGTACTAAATTTTAAACTAATAATTTATAGCTAATTATTCTTAAGAGGACGCCACATCGGCTAAAGTACAGGCAATTTTTCGAAAAATATTAATTTAGAGTTTAAACTAAAATGTATACTCATTAATACAGTAATGAGGATACTTTATTGATTGCCATTTTTTTTTTTATCAAACTCAGTCATTTCTATAGGATATGTTACAATTTTTTCCCAATCAAAACTGCTTTGCGCGGATTAATTTTTCTCAGGCTTCATATATAGTACAGGAAAGAAATTCATAGATATTATACACGACAAAATTATCCGTGCTCCAGCATCTGTATATTTTCGATATACCTAATACTACCGACGCTATATAATTTTTAAAAAATCCTTTAATTATTAGTAAATTATTGGCCATGATAGAGCACAGACAATGTTGTTGTCTATATTATGTGAAATTTTGGTTTCTTAGTTTTGATTACAGCCTTTGTAAAATTATGCCGTGCAAGACGGGTTTTTGACTAAAAAAACGGGTGTGGCGCTCTCTTAATTTATAAATGTCATAATAAAATATTATTAACTAAAAAAATTGACGTAAACCTATATTATAAATTTAAATATATTATAGAGCTCCGACTAATACTAAAAAACAGTTTACATTAATTAATTTTATAATATTGTAAAATAAAAAACTTAAAAAAAAAAAATAAAACCACAAATGGTAATAATTCTTTTAAGATTTTTACATTAAAAAATTATTCGATACATGTATAAATTAAAAAAAAATCGACTTACGGAATAAACAGTGCAACCAAAAAGAAAGACATCTGTGGTACAATAGGAATTTTCTATAACTGCTGGTCACCTGCATAAAAAACAGTATGTCAGACACTTATCAGTCTGGGTTGACAAGTTTCCCTTCTGGTGTTTCCTTATCAAGCAAGGTTTGTAGATAATATCTATAAACCTTGCTAATCAAGAGTCGTTATAATTTTTATTTTACAATATACATGATAAAAGTTTGTTTTTATATCTAACACGTGTAATTATTTGTTGTGTTTCGGCAATACACATTATTTAAATTTACGCGAATAAATATTAATTGTTATTAAGTTATCACGGGAATAGAATCGAGCGGAATGGGCAATAAACGACACGGTTGTTCTAACGCATATTTTGCAAAAAAAAGAAGAGAAAAACAAGGAGTAAGTACCTACTTATTGGCCCAATATAATGATGACCATTATACAGCTGTATGGTACATTATTTTTTCCGAATGGTTTTATTGTACTATAATAATAATACACTCAGTGAGTTTGTAAAGAAAAAAAAAAAATATTCATAAAAAACTTGATATTATGCTTTATGATTTACAATGATGATGATAGTAATAATAATAATAGTACTATTACATCATTGAGCATCTAGTAGCGACTAATTTTATTTCTGTTAGTTTTGTTATATTCTTAAGAAATTTCTAACTTGTTAGTATCATAGATGATAGATTATAGATAGACCACATCACATGTAATGTTTTTTAGGACAATTAGGGTCTACTCATTATCTAAATGGATTGCTACAAGGTATGAAGTGTATAAACCGTGGTCTGATTTGAATTACCAATTAAGAAAGGGAATAAGTCAAAAAATATAATTTTAAAATACATAAAAAAAACTGTTTCTGCTCAACACAAACATTTATAGAAAATTACAATCTGTAAAAGCTTTACGTTACAACTTATCAACATTTGATCAATTTTTTGTAGTAAAAATTTTGTTTTATTTAGGTAATGAGAGCTGGCTGACTTATTTCTTTTCCTAAATAACATGTAAAAAAACATTGTAGCACAAAAATGAAAAATAGTTTATTTGTCAAATAATAAACCCCCCCTGTACAAAAAAAAAAATTGTAATTGATAAAAAAAAGTGATGAACATTTTTTCATGTGTCATTACAGTTTTTTGGAAAATTCTGTTATAAAAATACAAAGTTTTTTTATTACATATTGGTTATTTTTTATTTTTATGTGTATAATAGCTATGATTGGTAATTACAATACTAATGTTATTCCAGTTATTTAGCATATTACTGGCTCAATTTGATTAAAAAAATTCAAATAGGATGAAATATTTGATTTATAATAAACTAAAAGTTAGGTAACATGTGAATTTAAATTATCATTGTATGTTTTAAATGTACAATTTATAATAATTTTATCACAATTTCAGACAGATTCTTCAGTTACACCTAAAGAAGACACTCGTAGTCCTTATGTGACCACTATAAGGCATAACGAAAAATTCCTTCAACATTACAAAGTACACAAGTTTAACATAATTCACACATTCTCTTATCATTGTTAGTAAGCTGTAATTTGTAATTGTGTTTAATTATTAAAATTAACAGATGCAAGGTATCTGCCATGAAAACGAATGGGACCAATTTGTTGATGTGTTGAAAAGCGATTTACCGACTTCGTTTCGCATAACAGGCAGTTGTGAAGCAGAAGCCAAAGCGCTGTTGGAGTTGGTAGAAGGTGTTTTCTTTACCGATTTACTGAAACACGATCAAGCTGAACAAAAAAACTGTAGTAAACCCTTTTGTCTACCATGGTCAGTGTTTTACTTGCTTAAAACTGTCTTGCTTTTCTTGTTATCTCAGGAAAGACGGAATATTTAAATGATAAAAAGCCAACATAGTGTGGCGGTTGGAGAGGTCAGTGGTTTTTAGGAATGTTTATCACTGAAAGTGTTAAAATCACTTTCAAATCAATGATTTGATAAGATTTTTAAATGATAAAATATACATATAGGTAGGGGTTAAATTCCAAGTAGAAGTGCAGTTAATTGCTTTTACAATTTAATTGTTTTGCCTTAGATATGGTTGCATTATATTATTTAAAGATCGTATAGAATATAGAATTTCTTTAAACATTCTGATTCAAATTGTTACTATTTGAAAAAAATTGAAGTTGGGGTGCACTCTGTTGTAGCTTAGGATTGTGCTTTTAGCATAGAAAAATGTACACCCACAATTTTATTTTTTATTATTAGGATAGATGCAATTAGGGTTGATCACCTGTATTTTCTGATAATTTTTGATTTTGTTATTGTCAGTCTGATAGGCAAATCAAAAACATAATGAAAATATTTTTCGGATAAACTGTTGATTCATCACACATAGAAATCTAAAAAATTTATATCTGTCAAAGAGACATTTTTTTTCTTTTTAGATTTTTCCTAGGTAATGAAAAAAAAGTTTGACTACAAATTGTTGAGAATTTTTTCTATATTATGACTCACACTAAATCTGCCTTCAGTCTAATTTTTAAAACTTCACTCGAAAAAATCAAACTAAAGATACTCTTAAAGCTCACAAAATGATTATTAAACCAACATTAATAGGTTACAATTTCACTAATATGACATTAGTATTATTTATAGGATGTATTTATTTATATTATGCTGTCTACCACAAATTCAATGATTATTAACATTTATGTACTTATGTAGGTACCCTGAACGATTGGGTTGGCAGTTAAAAATCACTCGCAAAGATATCCGCGGGTCAGAAGCGTACTATCGTTTGCACAATTTTTTAATATCCGAAACCGAAAATGGTAATATTTCCAGACAAGAAACAGTCAGCATGATCCCTCCTTTGTTGTTGAATATCAAGCCCAGCGATAAGGTCTGGCCCAACATCTAAAATACTGCACACGTGCAATTTGGTTATTGACGCTTATTGTGTTTAATAGGTACTGGATATGTGTGCTGCGCCAGGTTCAAAAACCGCTCAACTCATTGAAGCCCTTTATTCGGGATCTACTACTTCGGTCCCTGGTAAGAATGTTACATTGTAGGTATTAACAAATATATGTTACCCAGTGTTTTGAGAGGTATAAACAATAATGTTTCTTTTGTTGCACCAATTGTTTTCACTTATGTTTCAGACGGTTTAGTTATCGCTAACGATGTTCACAACTCGCGTTGCTACATGTTGGTACATCAGGCCAAACGACTAAATAGTGCTAATATTGTAATCACCAATCATGATGCTTCGGTTTTGCCATCAATGATTATGGATGAAATTGGTTAGCCTTCGTTATCTTTTTGTTTAATGCCAGATTTGAAAATATTCTATTGGTTACAGGTGAGTCTGTTTTGAAATTTGACAAAATCCTTTGCGATGCTCCGTGTTCAGGCGACGGGACGTTACGCAAAAATCCAGATATATGGACCAAGTGGAGTCCCGGGAACGCAAACAATTTACACGGGTAAACATATTGCTACGTATTGACTGCATACAATATTATTAATTATTTTATAATTACAAAATTATCATTCGTCTTGTTTGGATCTATAGAATTCAATATCGCATTTTGAAGAGAGGTTTAGAACTGTTAAATGTCGGCGGACGTTTAGTGTATTCCACATGTTCCTTTAACCCGGTTGAAAACGAAGCCGTGATCAACCGTATGCTGACTGAAGCTTCAGGTATGTTGTCGTTTTCAACTATGAAGCTCAATGTTGGTACTAACTTCTAGTAGTAATGAATAATTATAACCATAAGATGTAATTCATTATACAAATATTAATTGTTTGTGTTTACACTGTTGTTAGGCAGTGTAATGCTTCTTGATGCGCGAGACAACTTGGAGGGGTTGAAGTGTGCAAAAGGACTGGTCAAGTGGAAAGTTGTATCGAAAGATTTAGATGTTTACGAAAATTTTGAACAAGTACCTGAGAAATGGTCTACTCAAATACGACCCCAGATGTTTCCGCCCAAAGAAGACGTGCACAACTTAACAAAATGGTAGTTTATTGTTATTTTAAAAGATACTATATAGTACAAAATACCGTTAATGGTAAAGATCTCTTAAAATCTAAAACATGGTCAAATACTAGATATTAATTAAATTAACTAGCAATCAATATAAACCATCCACACTGTTATTGGTTATTTAACAATTAATAACTTTAATTTTTCCTCAGTATTCGTATACTTCCTCATCATCAAGATACCGGTGGGTTTTTTGTCGCTGTGTTAGAAAAAATCAAATTGCTTCCGTGGGAAACGTCAGTGAAAGATACCACCAACAATGACACTGAAAAACTGTTGGATAATACAGAAAACAAGGTAGACACTAGGAGGAAACCAAAAAAAAAAAAATACCACGGTTACAAAGAAGATCCGTTTGTGTTTTTAGCTGATAACGATGAAGTTTGGCCAGCAATCAGGTAGGCAAATAATATTATTTTACGATAAAATAAATAATAATAAAAGGTTGCGTTCAAAGTTTATAAAGTTTTGTATCTTTTGTGAATTTACAGGGATTTCTACGACCTTAGCGATTTTCCCATAAACTGTTTGTTGACTAGATGTTCTGTAGGTAAAAAAAAAAATATTTACTATACATCTTCATCTATAAGAGGTATAGTGAACAACAATCAAGAACGTGTTAAAGTGAGTGTTTTTAGTGTTAATAAATGTATTATTACTGTGTATAAAATTATAAGGATTTTAGAGAATTTATACATTGGGGCTCTGTTAGCCCAATACAGTTATGATCAAATTGTCTGTCTTCATTAATATATTTTTTGTTGTTAAAAAGGACTGTAAATTTACATTTTAATACAAAAATGTAATAATAATGTATTCATCATTGTTAAAGTGCATTTTGTATAATTTTGTATTTAACTAGTTTCACTATTATTGCCCTCGTAGATTATCAACACTGGAGTCAAAACTTTTGTCCGTTGCGATAACAAATCGATGGGATGCAATTTCAGGCTTGCTCAAGAGGTAATTTGGTCATATTTAATCAATAATTTATAAATGTTCTATAATTTTTTATGTTTAACTATTGTAAATACACTACACATAATATATTTTGTTGTGTATCAGGGATTGCCTAGTATTACCGGTTACGTGGGATCAAAGAGACGTGTAAAGCTGAGTCGTGATGAAATTGTTATAGTACTTAAAAACCCGGTGGTTCCAGTGGCCAATTTAAAAGAAAATACCATAGAAAAATTAGTCGATTTTGGTGAATAAAGCTAGTTTTATTTGACTAGCATTCAAATATTGAATATATTTGAATGTACCGCCCGAGTGTCGGTTATTAATATGTTATTTATATGTATTCTTTCTATGCGAATAGGAGTGGGGAGTTGCATATTGAATGTGGACGATGAAGATAAATTTCCGCTTGAGTTGGTCGGTTGGAAAGGATTTTCAACCCTGAAAGCTTATATAAATGGAGAATGCCGCTTACATTATTTGCGAATACTCGGCGTGGACGTATCGGAATTTGGTAAGAAGCAAACATAAACTATTAACAACCATTATTTACTATACTAATAATTTAACGGGGAATGGAAGGAACCTGAGAATTTATAAATTTTGATGTTTAATCTATACTTCATACTCAATTAATTTTATATATAAATTCAATTTTAGATGTTAACAAATTCAAGAAAGACGTGGCTGATGATGATAAACCAAAGATAAGCGATACCGTTATCTCAGGTACTGGTAATAATATATTTAAAACTAGTACTGCATAATAATTACTTCATATTTGAGGATACATTTTCTTCTTTTTTCTGTAGACATGCAAGATATTGCAATTGATCAAAGCTCGAGTGAAACGCCACTAGAATGACGACAACGACTTGAAACCAGTGTATGACAAATGCCCAGAAACGGTTTGTGTATTAGTATTGTTAAAAAATGTTTAATCACATAGTACATGAATCCATTCTGCTAACTTTTTTTCAGAGTAATTTTTTCTTTAAACCTTATGAGCCATTTAGGCCTAACGCTGACTCCTCCAAAGGGGAAGTTTTTAAACTTTTTATATGCTGGTATGGGTGTAAAGTCTAGATTCAATAATGTAATGTAACATATTATTATATAAATATTATTAATGTAGAAACAAAATTTATAAGTAATATATTTCATTAGGCCATTTAGTATTTGTCCCACTTGTAAAAAATGTCTAGCTCCTCCAGACATGTCATATAATGTATAAATAGTCCGTACATGTATATTTTATTAAAACCTTAATTATGTCTGGTTTCAGATGTATGTTTTCAACATTCGCGGCTAAGTAAAAATAAGAAGAAACTAAGAATATCACCTATGATTGGCGACACCTATTAGTATATTACAAACATTTATACAACAATTTTTATAAACATTGTAAATTATATTTAAAAATATCGTTATGTTGTATAACAGCGCATACTGTAATTTCAATTTTGTAATACATTAAACATACAAAGATAAATTTTCCTTTTTTTTTCTGGGTCACACAGTGGTCTGAATTTTTACTGCATAACAACAAAATATACTATCTAAAAATGAATTTTTTTTTTTTTTTTTATAATATTTTATCACTAAACTTAGTAAACTCGGTACAAGATTTATGTTTATCTGTTATAAAATATGTTAACTTGGATATTAATTAAACTAGTCCAAAAGTTTTTTTAACATTACTTCAAGTATATAAACTTGTTAATACATTTTCAAACTTAAATACAAATATTAAACAGGTTTTAGCTTTCGTAACTTGCTGAGGAAGAAGATATGTTAATTTTAAAATTAATTATGTAGTCTAAGACAGAAAAAAGACAATAACGTGTGATATAAGCTAAATTTTAGTTAAAAATACTAAGAAAGCAGTCGATGTATGTCTTCGAGGTCACCGAGTTAAAATTTGACCTCAGGTTAACAATAATAATAGGCTAAATAATACTTTATAGTATAAAAATGTGAACGTGAGTAGCTACATTTAAATAGAAGTTAAAAGAAATGTAAATTACCTTAAAAAGTTTTTTTGTTATTATAAAATAAGCTCTGTACGTAAAAAAAATTATTCGAATAAAACCATTGCTCTGGACAATATTAGGATGTACATTGTACCTACAATGCTATGACAAAGTTAACTTTCAATGACTGCTAAGTCAACTTGATAAGCTAGATTAAAAAATGTATTGGTTTTCGGGCAGGTATCAAACAGTTATTTTTACCATCATATCAATAAAATGAAATAACTTAACATTTTTTTTTAAATTTGAAAAACAATTCCCCCTAATTTCCCTAACTAGATGGATGAATTAAAATTTTGAATCGGCGGCCTCATAAACATTGATATGCAACTTAAAATTTTTCCAAATTTAGAAAAAATATCCCCCCCCTAACCTCTCTAAGTAAGTGGATGATTTCAAATTTAAATTTAGCGACCCCAAAAGTTTGTAAATTGACGTTTTTAATCATAAATTTAGGAGATATTATTTTAGGTTATGACTTTTGAGACCACTGTTGTTCAGTGTGACTAGAAACATCGGAGAACTAAAATTCTTTAAATAAGTTGGCTCCTTGCATAAAAAACATCATGGTAGCCGGTTTTTCTCATAAACAAGTTTCGTTATATGGTTTTTATCGCCGGCTCATAAGAATTCATGTCATATGCATTTGAGATTATTCTGTGTTAAAACTCTGAAGATAGTGTTGTGGAAGGAATTTCGGTTGTGATTTTTTGACAAAATAATGAAAGTGATTACACAGAATTCGGAACCAGAAAAGTGCATATAGAATATATATTTAACTATTCAGTAGTGTGAGGACTTCTGGATTTATTTAAAGTAGGTAAGTAAACAAACTTATAGATGACTGTTTATTCATTTTTTATTTAAATATAAGTTTTAAGTTAGTTTTGATGCGGCTTTAATCTCAACTAAATATTTGTCTGTAAATTTAAACAATACTTATTTGGTTAGTAATTAAATAAAACGTCAATGTATCTAGAATTAATTTGACGAACATTAACAAACTCAAATGTAGGTAGTAGGTTTAATATTTACACAACACAAAATAACATTGGTCTAACCTTATCACAAGATGATTCTTGTTTAGGAGGGTCATTAGTAATTAAAATATAACTGAATTTTAAAACTGAAATATTAATTTAAAAAATGTACTAAAGTCTACACCTAGTTTTAAAACTTGTTACATTAAATTTAAAATAACAGTAATTGGGTATTTCATTTGTATTTATTTTATTTTAATAACTTTTTTTTACTATTTACAATCATACAATCATACATATCATTATGGTTTATCTACTTCCTGTAAGCAAATCTTGAGTTGGAGGCAGAGAGTTATTGTGGAAATTGAATTAAATTTTACTTATATTATTTACATCTAATATAAAATAATAAACAAATATAACAGCAAAAACAGAGAGGAAAAAGCAAATAATATAACAGTATTATGGCTAATTATGAATGAAGACATAGATTTAATTATATAAATAATAGATATCTTATGTTTAGTTTTAAAATATTTTACAGATCACATAATAATGATGAACTTGTATATCTATTAAAAATAATTTTAGTTTTAGTTTTTAATTATTTTTTAAATTTAGTGAGTTAAACAATTTAGGTCCTAAGTAATAAATTAATTATTGGCCTATATTTTTTTTTTTTACATAATAAACTTTAATGTCATAAGCTATATTTTCAAGTATATTAAATATATCATCCAGTGAAGACATTTTTATTAAAGTAAATAAAAATAGCAAATTTTTTGTACAAAAGACTTACTGGTAAAACAAGTTCTGTATAATTGACTTTTGTGGATCCAGCTTTATTTTTTTTTTATTAAGGCAGATACGAATCGCATTATTTTGTTGATTATTCAATGTATGGAGTATATTACCTTCTGTACCACCCCATACCTATAATTTTTCCATACTGGTATAGTGTCATGTATACAATTCTCATAGTGTCTTTAGAAATGATTTTATTTAATCTATATAATTTAAAGTTAATTGCCCTTAGTCACATTGTAATGCTTAATATATGTATATTCCATCTCATATTATACTCGAACATTAAACCCAAATATTTTATTTTATTCACTCTATTTATTATAGAGTAGCTTGGACGCTTCCTTGGGGTACACCACAATTTATTATCCTATCATTACCTACTATCTCATTTATCTTCTGAGTTCTATCACTTAAATAGCTTTAAAACCATTTAAAACGTTTTCGACAGTGATCTGTTATGTCGATTTGAATTAAACACCTGTTTGAATATTATTTAAAAAAGTTTCGTCACTACATTAAACAAATAAGTGATCTAGACACGAATGTGACTTGTTAAATGGAAATCTTGTTAGTTAATAAGTTAATTAATAAGTGAGCAAAAACCATTTGACGATAGAATACCTAAATATTCATTATCTACGTGTCCATTATCAATAATTTGATACTTATATCTGCTATTATTATTGTTCGGTCTTGTAGCGATTAATCATTATTTATTATGTAATTTAGATAAACCAAAACTTCATTATTATCAAGTGACGGTGATCAATAAATACATAAAAAATTAACTGGAACATTGCATGCATTATCAGCAATTTTTAAATTAATAATATTTGCAACTTCACTACTATATTTATTAAAATCTAAGGAGAAATTTTGGTTTCTTTTCACTTTACTGTAGAACATATTTTACAAAACATGGCAAATTATAAGTAGGTACAATTTTGTATATCATGCCAAGTTTCAGTTAGAATAATTACATCTGCACAACAAAAATTAACATAATTTAAAAAAGTAGAACTGATCAAAATTAGCATTAACGCTTCTTATAATAATACAAAATACATTTAGAAAATTATTTTCTTACAGATTGAAAGTATTAATAAATTCATATATAGAGTTAAAGTATTTTGTTTTATTGTTTAAATACAAGTTGATAGAATTGAGAATATTCGTGATTTTTGATTTTTTTTAAATTAATTAAAAATGTAAATTTGTAAATACCTAAATTTAACGAAGCAATAAACAATAGTTTAAAATTTTTTAGATTTTTCATCATAAATTAATAAAACATTGGGGGTTTCAGATTATTTAACGAAAATCTTTGCATCTTTAAACCATGAAAATGTATAACCATCCTCTCTAGCCTTTGTTCTCGTTTTGTAGAAAAGATTTTTATTTGTTTGAGTTAATTGTTTGTTGATATAAATATTTGCGTTTTCCCATTACACACAAACTTGTTTATTTTCTTTGCATTAAATAATTAAGATTTTTTAGAATTAAGTTGCAACAATTTTTCTTGTTTTATTATTATTGTCCAAAAATTCTCTACATGCATGTTATACTGAAATATCGACTTTTAACTTTGAAGCAATTTGTTTTATTGTTTCTAAGCAATTTTCTTGTTTTACCTCCGGAAAACTAACAATTTCAACATTAAATTCAAGCGTTTTCTGTTCTAGAATATTTTCTGATTGTAATTCTCCCAATATTGTTAAGATATTCTTAATTTGTTTTTTAAAACTGTCAAATTGACCACTCATAAAATCAATGGATTCTACTAAACTTTCAATAGTAGTATTCGAGAAAAGCTAGTCGTAGGTTTGATAGTACCTTTATTAGTTTTGCATTTGGGACAGCTCCATGCTTCTTTAGACACAGTTGTCATTTTTCGATATACAGGTTCTCTAAAACCTGCACAACCAAAATGCAAAAATTCATTGCATTTATTACATTTTATCTCATCTTCCTTGATTACATTTTCATTGCAAATTAAGCACATCATTTTACATACAATTTTCGTTGACCACTTATAACTGAAATATTAATACAACTCAAATATATGAAATATTTGTTATATTATTGTCTTTAATAATTTACTTTATGGTTTTCAGGTTTAAGATGCATATTAAATCGGTAATTATTGATGGTTTTAAATCATATGGAAAGCGAGTAGAGCTGAACGATTTTGATCCCGAATTTAACGCTATAACAGGCTTGAATGGCTCTGGGAAATCTAATATTTTAGATGCAATATGTTTTACTTTGGGTATATCAACAATGAGTACCATACGTGCTACATCTGTTCAGGATGTGGTATATAAAAGTGGTCAAGCAGGAATTCAGACTGCTACTGTTAGTATAAAATTTGACAACCGTGATAAATCAAGATCTCCTCCTCGTTATGAACACAATGATGAAATTATTATTTCGCGAGAAGTTGGTACGGCTGGCTCAAAAAATGTATACAGAATAAATGGTGTCACAGTACCAGCTAAAAAGGTCATGGATATTTTTAACTCCCTACAGATGAATGTAAATAATCCTCATTTTATTATCATGCAAGGTAGGATAACAAAAATATTGAATATGAAACCAGGAGAAATTTTATCAATGGTTGAAGAAGCAGCTGGTACCAATATGTATGATTCTAAAAAAAGAAGTCTCGAGAT